TTATTTCTTTAGATATTTTTTTTTAGTAAGGATAGTTTGCTAATGTAGAATTGATTTTTACATTTAATTAGATAAATGATATTTTGTTTACTTGCATAGAGTAATTTCGTGAGATAAGGTTTCAGTATTGTAGACATATAAAGGTATTATTTAATATTCTTTTTTTTCTAGTGTTGTCTCAGTGTTCTTTAAATAAATGATACTTACTAGGTCACTATATGTATGTATAAATATTTTTTTGCTATTATATTCGAATATTTATTAATAACTAGTTTTTGCCCGCGACTTCGTCCGCGTTAGTTTCGTCATTAGTAATATATGTATAGCTGACCAGGCGAACTCTATTCCATCTTAGAGGCCATAAATAATCAGGTTTTTCCTGTTTCAATCAAACAGAATGATTGACATATTAGTTAGTTGTCAAATCTAATGTCAAAAAAAGCGTTTGTATGGGAAATAGAAAAGGGCTGTTTTTAGGGTTTTCCCGGCAATTATTCCAATTTTTCTCACCTTTTATACCTTCCCTGAACCTCCACGAACATTTCAAGACTAAGATAAGACAAATCCGTTCAGCTGTTCTCGAGTTTTAGCGAGACTAAGGAACAGCAATCCATTTTTATATATATAGAAGATTCACAAAAAACTATCTTTATTTAATGTGTTAATGTAAACTTGTCGAAAACCCTTTCGCAAAAAATGTATATACTTAATGTGTATCCAAAATGTCAGTTCAAGTAAATTAAAGAAAAATAGTGCGTGGAGTCCCTCTGTGCGGAAGAAGTGAACCTTCGTGATGTTCAAATGAAAATAGAAAGGGCAAGAAATCAATTTTTACTAAATTCGTATTGTTTCTTTAGGACAAACTTTATAAACATTGCTTAGAATTCACAATCGACCCACCATATACTCTCACTCCGTCTCTTTCTATTCCCCCTCCACGAGCGTTAAACGTTTAACGCAACCTCGTAGGAAGTGGCGTGAGAAGTTTCACTTCACAAACCGAGTAAGTCTTTCAAATAACGGTTCCATGTTAGTTGACGTGACGTTCTAATAACTACATTCAAGAAGACACGAGATAATATTAATTGTTGTAATATATCAAATTTCTTTTAAATCAACACGACAGTTATATTCAGTAAGAAAATCTTTAAAATACATTGTTAAACGAAATTCGTTTTCACTAACTAACTATTTATATTCATTTATTATTTTGCTAGTTTAACTTTAAAATTAAATTGTCTAACAATCACCTGGAGTTGAATTGCAAAATAAATAACTAATGAGATCTTTCGGGAGTATTCATTTAAATAAAACTATTATTTTTGGATAATACGTGTTTTTTATTATTTTATACTCATAAAGAGAGGTTTCGTCTTCATACTTCCAACGTTTAGCTGACTTTACACCAACCGTGATCACGGACAGACGAGATAAAAATCATTCTGATCTGGTTGGAGTCTGAAAATTAGTTTTATTTAAATACCTAATATTACAAAGTTAAAAATTATTATTAGAGGCGGGTGTATTGTGAGACACACAGTCATGATTTCTGTAATATATGTATGAATAGAGTCAGGTTTATTTAAATAAAGCCCCTATGGCCCGCATAACATGGCTACACGTCAATTATCAGTATCAAAGCTGTAGCGACATTTATAAATTGGAAAGTAGAAATGGATTCCCTCAGTGATAGCTAGCTAACCTTATTTCTATCTCATATCACATACTCCGGAGATTTACATTAATATTTATTCACATGTAAAATTCATCTAGTAATAAATCCCTACTAATATTATAAATGCGAAAGTAACTCTGTCTGTCTGTTAAGCTTTCACGCCTAAACCACTGAACTGATTTTAATGAAATTTGGTACAGATAGAGTTGACCTTGAGAAAGAACATAGAATAGTTTTTATCCCAGACTTTTGAAAGGTTCTCTTGGAAACGCGATATAACCGGACTCCACGCGGGTGAAGCTGCGGGCGGAAAGCTAGTAATAAATAATGAAATATAAGCGTTGGATTCCTATAAGACGAATGTGTTTTGACATCGCGAATTGCCTTCATTAAAATAGTTGTCCAACGATAAATAACACTATATATATATTTGACATTTTTCTAGCGAGTGTCAGAATTAACGATCGTTTTGTATGCCAGACATGCACTGCACTATATAAAACATCGTTATAAGTATATATCAATAGAAAAACTACATAAATACCTAAATATTAATCACTATTCTCAGTACCACGTCAATTGAACTACATATCATGAGAGAAAAAACAAATTATTTTACAATAGACATAGTTCTCATTACATTTTTTTTCAATCATTCAATAATTTCCACTTCACGTGCTTGTAGTGCCGCGGTGGCGCTGCGGGCGGAAATGTTACCCGCAAATGACAGGCATTAGCAACATTCAGAAACTACTGACATACTAGGTATATATATTATAATCTTTATATATAAAATTCTTCTGTGTGTATGTCACTGAACTTCTCTCAAACGACAGCACCGATTTTGATTAAATTTTTCGTGTGTGTTCAAGGGGATCTGGGAATTGTTTAGATTCACAATTTTGTCCGCTGGACAATGTTTTTTTAATTAATTTTTAATTTATTAGTAGTTGATACAAACGTTTTTTTTTTGACATTAGATTTGACAACTAACTAATATGTCAATCATTCTGTCGCGCTTCAAAACACGGAGATTTATGGCTTTAATAGGTGAACTCCAAAAATATAAATAAAAAACGTAACAGATATTTTTTGATTATAGGGTGATACGAAGTTCGCCAGGTCGTCTAGTATTATATAAAGATTTATATGATTCGATAAACGTTTTATACATTTTATTGAATTACAATAATATTTTTAGAAATATATCGTTTTGTTTTTATTTCATTAAGATTTTCATGTAAAGTATAGTTTCTCTAAAATATTGTATTAAGCGATTAATTTGGTAATTTTTATTGAAAATTACTGAAGAATATCGAGATAATAAAATTCTTGATAAAGTGACGGCTGAGTAAGCGAGCTAACACGGATGTTAAATGATCATTTATCGCATGTCGCATTACAGCGAGTCGCATGGTGGGGTTAGTTATATAAAAATTAAAAACCGTTCAGTCCGTGTAGTTTATAAATTCTTCTTAATGGTGCAAATCTTATTTAATTATAGTAATTATAAACTTAAAGATTCTGCGTTGAGAATCACTAAGCCTTGATTTAAATGTTCAAATCAGTTTAATTAAGTCTCAATTATAAAATCCACGTTACATGTTTACTTTTCCCTTTCCCTAATTATAATCCTCGCTCTCCGCAGTCCACACCACACAAATGTAATTATATTAAAGAAAACATCGCGTGTTGTTAAATCCTACATAATTCATTACTGATATGTGTGTCAAGTTCGTGTAACAGATGCGTCTTCGTGTTTAAATTTCACATAATACAGTTATTTCAAACATATTTTTTCAATTTATATGGAAGAAATTGTATTGAATTTCTCTATAAATGAAGTTTTCTTGCAGTTTATTATAAGGCAATTTAATTTTACTTCAAATATACATATATAAGCACGCCAGTCGTCTGCGTAAAAAATTTATTATATTGCCAGCGAGTAAAAGTCATATTTTTTTATTAATACAAAAGGTCGAGGAACTCCATACTTATTTAAATAACAATTTATTCTCGCCCTCTCTTAAACTTAATCCCCAAAGAAATTGCTGTGGAGTAAAAAAGTTAAGGAATACCTTGTAGCTTGTAGCCGTGGAAGTTATTCCAACCTTTAGAACAGACTCATCGACTTTGTATTGAGTTTGAATTTAAATTAAGTCTCACTGAAGGATTAGCAAACAAGCTAAAATAAACACTTTAAGAAGACTACACGACGCTCTCCAAGATATACTTATACGGTTATACGATTATGTTCTTTATGGTAAAAGAAATAAAACATTAAATTACATGTTACGAATGAACTTATAATTCAAAAGGCTACGTTTAGGTTATTCAGATTTTAGACTAAGAATTGGTGACACAAGTTCAATAAAATAATATAACTTTCAAATATTATACGAGCCTCGATTCTATGAGGAATTTGCTTAGCAATATTCTAAAATAAAGGTATTTAAAGTTAAAACAAGCGCAACCAACAATTTCTTTTACAGACATATGTCTTTTATGGTGCATTCTGTTATTAAACAAGAAAATTTCGCAGTTTTTCGTACGTTTTATATACAAAAACATTAATAAGGAAGTGTGTTTGTCTATTCAGTGTACGGCACATTGTCCGTACTCTGTACGTAGCTACGAGCCGTAAGCTACCAGAAACAGACGATTATGTTAGGAATTGAACCGTTTCAAGTTCATTGTGTCCAATACTAACTGTTGGCACAACGAGCGGTGGAAGCAACGCGTACTATAGAACTGTATACAGATATACGTAAAGGATATGTTTTCTATCAATTAATATATTACTTTAAGATATTTCTCATATAGTGTGTATTGTTTTCTAGTAATCTTTGATTTATTTTCATTGAATTCGGTGTGGGTTTAAACTAAAATTTAACTCGTGATCCAGCAAAATGTGCTTATAATCCTATTGGGATCTTAACGATTATAATTAAATCCCTGATTTGACTTGACGGTTGTCTAAAAATAAGGATCATTTTGAATATTTTCAATAGTAAATATACAATATTTATTTTTAATGCTTTGAATCATACACCCATCTCTCCATAGTCCGCTGTTTTTTTTAGTCTTAATGTAAAATGAGAAGGAATTTTTGAAGTACTCTTGAGACCATCATTTTCCTAAACGTATTTATTGTTGACATACATCTCAGAATCAAAGGAACAAGTATGTACTCTCTCCCGCCCACGACACGGAATGATTTGTATAGACATACAATTAATAATAAAGCAACGGTCGACATCTTATCTCATTTATTTTAATTCTATTTTTGTCACAGTTTGTGATATTTCTATTCGTTTGTTTTCAGTCAAAAAAGCTACAACAGCCCGTGGAGTTGGACGACTGTGACCGCTACCGGCGACTGACCGCGGGCGCCGCGCGGGCCGCCGCCTGCGCACTGAGCCGTGAGCGACGCACGGGGGAGCAGCGGGGAGTGTGGTGGGGGAGGGGGGGGGGGCAGAGGGGCCCGCGGGAGAGAGAGGAGCGGGGGGAGGAGGGGGAGGGCATTAGACACGCAACACGACGGAACATTAGATGTATATCGGCGAGCGGCCACCTTCTACGACGTGCTGAAGTGATTCGTGCAAAGACTAAACTATTTCCAAAGTTCCCGAACTTGGTTAAAGACAATAGGTTAATTATTATTTGTAGTTTCTATTTTATTTATTGTTATTTAAGAAATATCTGTGTTGATTTCGTTCGACGTGAGGCGATTGTCACCGGAGACGAGGGCGCGCGTTGTTTTTAATTATTTCCTTTCCTGTCGCCGTCCCGTCTCACAAATTTAATATTGTCTGTTCATATTTTTGTTTTTAAAAGAGGCTATGATTTGAAACTATGTTGATGTTGTAATTCGTTGAGTTTTGATTTGGGGTATGGTTTAGTATTTCGTCCGCGTCAGTCCGTTTCAAGCCGTACTGTATCTTAATAAGGTCCGTTTCCGTTCACCCCGCGGCACCCTCTGTATGGCGAACGTAATGATCCGTCCGATATCGTTAGCTCCCCGTGTCGTGGTCGTAAGGTGTTAAGCGGCTCGTGAACTCGCCTCAACATCACATACTGTACTATAATAATATAAAACATTATGTTTCCTATTAAACCGGCGACACATTCGTGCGACTTACTCAGCTGCGAATGAATATTTAAAAGCAATTTCATTTAGTTAGTAAGAGCGCGGCCATCGCTGTTTGTACGGTTGTCGTGCTAGTTCTAGATCGAGGCTTAATGTTCTTTTAATTGCGAGTCAATGACTGCGACCGACGTCCGCACACTAATACTTTTAACGTGACACACATATTAAAATAATGTTCATAAAACATAGCTTGTATTAAGTGCGACTATATATTTCTGTATACGTATTAATACGATAAAAAATATTTTCTTTGTTTAAAAATGCTAAGACGAGTTCAGAGTCGCGTCAACGTTGGTAACGGAATTGCTTACAGTGAAGCATTAGAGTGAGCGCCGGTTGTTTGCATATTAATCGATCCAGGGCGATCGTAATGATAAAAGTCGCCGACGCTCCGACTACCATATCCCTATTTTATAAGATGGTGCATTAAATCGGGTATAGACGGAATAAATGGCATAGATTTATAATTTATTTAGTTGTGATAGTTACATTGAGTGCAATCCGCGTGGACTGTATCTATATAGTAGTTAGTGAAGTTAAGTGCGGTGCATTTCATTGATGTGCGTGCGGGCCGCAGGTTGAATTACTATATTACATGTTTTTCAGTTTTAATATTCTAATACGTTCGGTTGAGCGACTCGGTCTTCATTGTTGTGTCCGCTCGGAGTTGTTTCATCTATTTCATTTGTTTATTTCGGATCACAATTCAAGCTGCAGCCGCACTTTTCATAGACAGTCGTAGTCGATAACTTCTGGAAGTCGATAGAACATCTCTAGTACTACAACTCGCTGTGAAGTCGACCCAGTAGTTGTCGACTCGTAGTAACCTAACAATCGGGCTAAAATGAGAGCGGGACACGAATACTACGATCTCTCTTTCACTCTTAGGGTTAAGCTGAGTTTACACTGAACGGCTGCACCTTACTTGACGCTTCTTAAGGACCCATGTTACTGTAAGCATTCTTACAACTCGTATTCATTATGACATTACATGGCACGGAGCTAGGATACATTATTAGGCGATGTGATGTCCTAATTAATACAATATTCGTATTTCGTTTCCTTTGTAAAATGTATTTTTATAAATAAGTATAACCGCGGAGCTTCGTCCGCTCATCTTGATGTCTGACAATGAAACTAGAATAAGCATTCGTTTAACTAAGTAGCATTAATGATGTAATCTGGGTAAACTCGGCTCGGTGTATTTATATATTGTAAGCTAATTAACTGCTCTCATTTCAGCCGGCTTGCTTCATGTTAGCGTCATAATATTATAATATATATATCCGTGTTTATATAACACCCACGGGAAACCGAAATCTATTACGATTCTTCAAATGGACAAACTGTCCAAAAAGGTTTTATTCGGTGGATTTGAGTTTAGTGTGACGTCACTTGTCAACTGTCAGCTGTCAGGTCTCCTGGGCGCGGATCGATAGTGACAGGTGACAGTCGGCGAGGAGCCTCAACATATTCAAATTGAATGTTGTCAACTGACGTTAATTGCTTTCATTGTGACGGACGCGTTCATATTAAAATATTAATAATGAATGAGATGTTCCAAGTTTCAGTTTGTTATGGGTATTATAGAAAGGCGGGTAATAAATGACATTTTTAAAAATATCAGTATTTATTTCGTTATTTTTTAAGTTTTTAATGATTTTAACTGTTCTCGTTGCTTTCCTTGGGAATCTTTATCGATTTTTAGATTTAGTAAGTACAATATTTTATACGAACGGGGATCGACTGTCAGTAACTTGTAGTATAAGTGCCGATGGTATGTGTATTAATGTCGGCGAATACTTTTTTAGTGTATAAATACATTTTTCTATTCCGGTGATCGGGCTCGGGCGCGGTCTCAACTGTAACCTCTTTGTATTTTCGGGTCCGTTTTTGTAAATATATTAATTTATTTATGAATTTAATCGTTATATTAACATCGCTCGTACGATCGTTGTGTCGCTTGTGTAAATAAATACGAATTGTTACTTTGCCATATATCTATGATTGTACTACCTGTATTTTCTACATCTGGCCCCGGGCCCGAGCTAGTAATGGTTGTAACTAGTAATACCCGGTTATAACCGGCCCAGAACCAGTTCGTCCCCGTTAGGTTGTTGGTTATCGTTCGTGAATACTAACTATTCCAAAAGTTTCCTGATGTAATTTATTGACTTGAATAAATGAAATTACGCTTCTAAAGTGTACTATTACATATGTAAATATAGGCCAACTAATACCTATTATAATAGTGAATGTTGTAATTTGTATATAAGTAACGAAATTAAATTTTAAATACATAGATAAAATTGTGTGTATTTATTATTTCACTTCATCTGTGACCCTCTCTTACATCCATTCGTTCCTATCACCTATGTATGAGGTTTAATGTAATAAAACAAGATTGTATTCAAAAATTTCAAATACAGAAATATATTTCATAGTTACACAATTCCACTGAGTTGTACAATAATCGCTATAGGAAATATTTGAAATACGTATTATATAAGCCAGCGGATTCCTCGCGCCTGACTACAACAAAAATGTTCTACAATTTGACATCTCGATATTACTTTTAACAACAGCACCATCTATGAGATGAAAACGGAACTAGCGAATGCTATGTGTCAATAGATGGCGCTGTTATTAAAAGCAAACTAAATGGCAGTGTTCATGTTTCAAACACGAGCAATCCGCTGACTAGAAATCACAGTTGAGGAATAACTTCCTATATCATGGCGCTAGAAAACTCCAAGCTCGTACAGCGAGAGGAATCTTTCAGCCCTTAATACTTAATCATAGTTATATATCAATATGAATCATACGATCATGTATTTAAGTCTTCCTATTAAGTATTAAGTAACATGTTTACATACAATCGCATCATGAAAAGTGAGACTTGTCCAAACAAAAATACTTTACGTAAGTTAAAGGAAATCATTTTCTCTATAATAATTCTAATTCTAACATGCCTCATAACGTCAAGACTTAAAAAAAATACATAACTGTACTTATAACATAAAATTAATACAGATATTGGAAGTTTTTATAATTGATAATATTTAACGCGGGTTATGTTTATTATAGAAGACATACAAATAGGATATACAATTTATGTTTAAACCAAAAAATATTTCTCTCTCGACATTTGTTCAAATACAATAACATGTTGGTTTCGTCTTTACTTGCTTTTAAATAATTCTAATTATTATGACAGGAACTTATAAGATGGAGATAGTATTTACTACAAAACAGTTAGTTGAATGTATGAAGAATATTTAAATAATGTTTAATCTAAGAGAGATCAAGTTAGTTACAATAATTTAAATAATTCCGAATTTATAAATAGGTAATATTTTTGGTATATTCTTATATGACTAACAAGGACAGAGGCCGTTAGGCGAAAATATATTTAAATGCACTTATTATTACTATAAATTTATATTGCAATCAACCTTCCAGAGGACGGAAGGATAAAATACTTTTAAATTACACAATACTAGATTATTTATAATAAATAAATATAATCTAATTGAAAATATATTAATTGAATTTCACAATGAATGGTAAGTCAAACATTTAAGATAATCATGATAGGAAAATTAACATAACCAAATCATTAACACTCAAAGAATTTACCTTATATATGCACCAGATTCATTTCATATTAAACATGTACAATTATAGTTTATACTTTGGGGCAGGACTACAGTTATGGGGTGTAACACGAGGATACAGTTTCAATGGAACATCTGAAACAAATAAATATATTAAATACCAGCTCTCGCCTTAACTATGAATAATCAATGTATACTCTACACTTAAAAATAGCTAAACCTATGTTGTTATAGTCTTACTCATATATTTAAATAAAATACGAGTGTCCACAGAGATTTACAATTTCATTACATTCAAGATTTAGTAAAATTGGTAAAAGCGCCATATAGTGAAAGCAAATAGAAACATTTCCCATCGGTCGCTACTAGCGCCGCCTTCCAAATAGCGAGACTATTATCAGAACTACGTGTTACTAATTCTCACAATAAATATATCACGTTAGAAATAATTTTGTATGAAGAAAATATGTTCAATGTGATGGGTTCATGTATTTTGGTCGGTATAACGTTTAAACATTTTTTTAGTAGTTTCTAGAGTGCAGGTGATCAAAATATATTTTTTTCATTATGGAGTTTATCAATGATACATGGAATTACGGCTCAAGTAATGAGCAGGAGTAACATCTTAATTCTCTGTGCAGGCCCTATTCTATGTTACTGCCTGGAGTAGTCTGTCTACATATATGTAATCTCTATGCTCGCCCTACTCTGTCTACATATATGTAATCTCTGTGCTCGCGCTACTCTGTCCCCCGTCTCACCACTTGTCCATCAGTGACAGCCGGAGCGCCTCGTCCAGTTGCCGCTGCTCGTCCCTCAGCAGCTGGTCCCTGTGCGCGTGTTCCTGTGCGGACACCTGCAGCGCCGCCCGCAGGTCTTCGTCCAGGTCCTCACTGTCCTCCTCGTGCTCCAGGTCCGGACTGTGCAGCGTGACGCCCGACAGAGACGCCTCTATCGCTCTAAGGAACTAGCTGCTTTAGCGACTACATTAGCTATACTTATATACTAGATTAGCACTAGCTTTTACTGTTAAAACAATATCTTTACCACGTGTCTGCGTTGACTTACTACATACATAGTTTATAGTTTTTCATTAATAGACAGATATTGATGAAGATAAAACGCTGAATTCTGTGCATGTAGTTCAAGTAGCAGACTTGTGCTAAAGATACTGAACCATCGTCGACTTTTATTTAAGGTCCAAATTTATGCTGAATCCCGATTGTAACGTCTCTCACAATCAGAAAAACAGATGAATTATGATTATTTTTTTCTCTATTAAACCCAAGTGGTCTTTTTTAATTACTAAAGTATTATTTTTATTCCCTATAATAAAAGGTATTTTAAATATTGCAGGTTTATTATCAAAACTTAACAGAACTAACTACTGATAGCATATAAACATATTGTAGTGACTAAATATAAAGTAACATTATAAATAAAGCAAAAAGCATGCTACAATAAGTTGAACTGATATCGACGAAATCTGTAATCATTCAATATCTCTTATTATGACTTATATAAAAAGAAAAATTTTGCCTTGCCTACTTTTAACAAACAAACCCAAAACATACACAAGATTTTAAAAACCTTTTTGCATAAACTCAAGGCTAAGTTTTTTAAGAATTTGATGGAACAGTCATGAGGTTTCCGTCCCAATTATTTAATATTAGATACCAACATCACTTTTAATATTGGTTTTTATTTTATTCAAACAAAATAAAATCTATGTGGTTAGTGTTGTATTGTTTAACGTTCAGTAACTCATGCTATGTAAACTATAGGTATGTATGTTTGTTGTATGTGTGTACCTCTGTAGGTAGTGATCCTCGTGCGCCAGTAGAGCGGGCGGCGAGCGGGGCCGGGGTGCTACCGGGGACGTACAGCGAGCGCCGCGGAGAGCCTCCCACACGTCCACCTGGACACAAAATAGAGTGATATTATAGGAACATAGACTTACTATAGTTATGTTTAATACATAAATATCAAGTGGAAAGAAATTTTTATGTTAAACTAGCTGCGCCCCGCGGTGTTACCCGCGGATTTCCGGGATGTAAAGTAGCCTATATGTTATTCCTGGACGTCAGCTTCCTGTATACAAAATTTTATCAAAATCGGTTCAGCTGTTTGAGCGTGAAGAAGTAACAAACATACACACACACTCAAACTTTCGCAATTATAATATTAGTAGCATCAGCGAACGAACACATGATCTACTAGATGGAAGGTGGTAAACATCGAATATGGACATATGCAACCAGTGGCGGCTGTACCTTAAGTGCACTCGTGCGCTGAACCACCAATTCAAAAGATTTAAAAATTACAAAATATTACTTCATCTTTATTTTTAAATTACCATTTTAATATTGATTTTTTAATATACAAAAACGTATAAAAAATTAAATTTCTAATTATAGTCAAAAAGTTTGAGCGCTTTACTAAACTAATATATTGTGCGCTTCGGCGAGTGCACGAGGACTGCTAATACTTCTGTATGAGATACGCATTAATACGCCTGACGCGTGAAACAAAAGATAGTTCATAGAAATGTAGCGAGTAATGAGTCGGTTCTCGAGCGCCGCACGAGCGGCCGAAGATTACCGAGAGCACCCGATGTATGACGAATTGAGCCATGATTAATATTTCGTTATGTTTTGTTGCATTTTTTAATTTTAATATTTTAGTAAAGTGCACCACCGGTTCGATTACCCACCGGCCGCCACTGTATGCAACATAAGAGATATTGTGGATACGTTGACATCAATTGTTTAAGAGAGGGATCACAGGGAAAGAGAAACTGCCTCTCACACCCATCGAATGAAACGCAGCCAAAAGGCTACATCACACCGATCTTATATGATAGGGTATACTTCCAGCCAGTTCATGTTCAAACTTATACTCACCCATAGCTACACTCTACCACCTATACAAACAAATCTCGCATAGCTAGGCTCTACTTATAAGAACAAATATCTCATCTATTCCTAACCTGTTCATCATGTGTGCCCGCGTCCATCAGACTCTGTTGTATCGCGTACCGCAGCAGTCCCTCGTCATCCCTATGGTCGTCCGGTCCGGCCGCGTCGCTGTACCCTCCGCCCACACTGAAGCACCTATCATCCACCACACACGACAACCTCTCCCCCTCCTGTATACACTCTACGTGCTCCACCGGACACTCGGTGGCGAAGATGTTGCCGAACGTGATGCGAGCGTTTAACACGTGGAATAGAGGTATCTCTGGAATATATAATAAAGATTATTATTCAACTTGGACCATATATTAGATAGATCTTCATCAAAAACTTCATTACATAGTTATTCTTTACAATATAACTAGCTTTCCGCCCGCGTGAAGTTCGGTCATATCGCGTTTCCAAGAGAACCTTTCAAAAGTCTGGGATAAAAACTATCCTATGTTCTTTGTCAAAGTCAACTCTATCTCTGTACCAAATTTCATCAAAATCAGTTCGGTGGTTTAGACGTGAAAGCGTAACAGACAGACACACAGAGTTACTTTCATATTTATAATATTAGTAAGGATATGGCTGTCTAGAGATTCAAAACACTTGTTTCTAAATTAATTGAATCGAAGTCATGAGGTAATAGTTATATTCGATCCCAGACTAAATGGTAGCTCATCAAAAACCTCATTCCATAATCATTCTTAATATAACATGCCACCTCAGAGAAAACTCCAAACTGTTCCTGAATTAATTGAATTGAAGTCATACAAGAACAGGTCTTCATCATCAGCCTATCAGAGCCCACTGCTGAACAAAGGCATCTTCTCACATGCAGAAGATTTGAGCATTAATCACAACACTTGCTCAAGATGGGTTGGTGATTTCAAACTTATAATTGGTAATTATAAGTCCTGGTTTCCTTACGATATTTTCCTTCACATGTCACTGTTGTCTTAATACTCTTAGAAAGTGCATATGACTTTGACTCATGTATGAAAGGTGGGAATTAAAAGTCAACAAATATCCAGTCATAGTGAGTACTGACCGATCTTAACAGGGAAGCCTGCCGGTAGCTGCATCTGCACGAAGTCCTTCAGCTTGGCGAAGTGAGGCGACGAGATGGCCGCCATCAGGTCCAGGATAGGCATGATCTGCTCTTGGAGCTGAGGAAAATAACATATACATAGAAAATTATAATGATGACATAAAAGGCCACAGATACATCTAGTAATGAAGATAAGTACGTTCATTTAAATCACTCATTTTCCTCATTCACAAATTTACTTCTTTTAAACAACACGTGAATATAGATACCAATTTGTCCAAGATCAGATGTAGTAAATAGCTGATTGTCTCATTCTATTAGCATTCAATATTAGTTCTATGTATACAGGGTGACTGGTGTATTACTATCAATAATTAAGGAGAATACTCGGTACATGATTCTCATTCGAATTCGTAATTCACCAGTCACCCTGTATAATCTGGGTATATGTGGTAAAATCCACTTAACCTGTAAATTATTAAATTTTAGAAACAAATAAACATTACAACGCTCACACGTCTCTTCATTACGCTTATTTCGTCACATTCTAAATTGAACCTTATTGCGTTGTACACAATTCGTGTTCCTATACAACACAAACTGCGAATCTAATCTATATATATAAGAGATTTCCACTTATATATTGATTCATCACGATATCTCTGGAACCATAAGGCGTAGAGACTTGAAATTTGGTAGAATTATTCCTTTCGCCGAGTAGAGGTCAGTTAAGAACGGATTTTACGAAATTCCACCTCGACTTCGAAAAAATATATACATATATGTTTACTTACCTCTAAGGGGTAGTCCTCACACAGCCAGAGCGTGGCCCTGAACTTCTGCACCTTGGTAGTAACGTCCCGGGGGCGCAGCTCCCTCTCGTCTCCGTCCCCGAAGTACTCCTCCCAGCTGACGGGGCGGAGCTCCTCGCGGGACCTGCTGCGGCGGGGCGTGTCCTCCTGGAGTATGTGGTATAAGTATGATAAATTTGTAAGACTCCATGAAGTACAAAAAATATCCTTGATTTACTAATTATATCATTTACGAAAGCGTCCTGTAAATATAAAACGACTATATAGACTAGTACATATTTGTTGAGATTACAATTTTTTATTACATTTCATTTTGTCTAACATTCATAGCACCATCAAGAAAAAAAATATTATATAATGAAATCTAAGATTTTCGTGAGTATGTAATCATTTAAATAAAACTAATATTTTCAGATAAAGTATTCGTATTTTATTATTTTTAAACTACATATTCCCTACATTTCGGCTACTTTGCAACGACCGTGATCACGATAGTTGTTATTCTTCTTCTACCTGGCAATTTCCCGGCTATAAGCCAGGGTCTGCCTTACATGTTGTGAATGGTTTTGGCTAATTGTTTTTTACGACCAGCCGCCTGCCTGACATTAACCCTCTTTTGGGAATCAGCATTAATCAGTGATGTCTAAATATTCTTAGAAAGTACATATGACTCGGAAAAATCACATTGGTACGTGCCCGGGCCAGGATCGAACCCGCGCTCTCGGCAACGAGAGGCGGGCCCTCTAACCATTAGGCCACCACTGACTTTTATAGTTATTATTATCCGAAAACATTTATACCTATATTGCCGAAAAAAGTAATATTTATACTGTTACGGGTCCAATGGTCCAAGGTCACAGGTCCAATGATCATTCCTCACCTTATCAGGTGTGAGCAGCGGGCTGGTGGTAGTAGTAGTGTTAGCCGAGTGTTCGTCGTCAGCGAGCGCCAGCAGGCCCGCCAGCGGGGGCCGCGCGGCGTGCGGGCGGCGCTCCCCCCGCGGCAGGTGCTCCGCCCTCGTCTTGGACACCAGCTCCACGTTGTTCGCGCTGAACACCTTACACTCGTACCCGTTCACTGTCTCACTCTTGTCCTGCCTCCAGCCCCATATACCGCTTTTATTTCTGTAAACAGTCAATATATGTATTATTATATTACCTATGTCAATATATGTATTATTATTATTATTACAGGCCTAGCCTAGTGTGGACGTCAACGTTTTTATTGTAAAGTTTTTACAAATGTATAAATAAATGAAATAAGTAAATAAATAAATATATTTGTTGGAATCTATCATTCATAGTGAAATTTGGACCATAATAAAGAAATAAGTTAATTGCTAACAAATAACAAGTCTATGCTTGATAGATTCTGCCAAAAAAATCGTCATACTAATTCACAGTTTAATCCTGGATGATCAATGAAGTTATATATGTATGAAGCTTTTAAAATATTAAAGAAGATCAGTTGATTAAATTTCATATTAGATACTGCAAACAAAACCAAACTCAAGTTCAATATTAGTATAGTTTAGTAGTTACTTACCTTTCAAAGCTAATCTTGTCCGTATCAAGATAGTTGATGGCTATAGGAACAGCCAGTCTCTGTTCGATCACGTGCGGCGCGGGCACCTGCCCCCCTCCCACTCGTGAGCCCCCTCCTTCCAAGTACTCACACCACGACGTACCAGCCTCATGATCAAGCTCCACCAGACTTGCGCTGCGACCTGTACAACAAATATATGTATACCAATCTATTGCTGTTCGTTTAGGTTCAGGGAAGGTTTAAAAGCTGAAAAAAATTGATTCATTTCCGGGAAAACCCTAAAAACAGCCCTTTTCTATTTCCCATACAAACGTTTTTTTGACATTAGATTTGACAACTAACTGTTCGATTGAAACAGGAAAAATTTAATAAATACTTGGTTATTTAAGACGGAATAGAGTTCGCCCGGTCAGCTATACATATATTACTAACGACGAAATTAACGCGGACTAAGTCGCGGGCAAAAACTAGTTAACATATACAGGGCCGGGTTATGCCTGTCGGGGCCCCTAGGCAATGCTCATCCAGGGCCTCCTACCCTCTTCTAATTTTTTCGTTAACACAACAAAATTCAAAATTACACCGTTTTTTACTAACCTGGGTATATCATCATATTATTCAATAAAAATGTTGAATCAAATGAACAGAATGTTTATTTATGCATTTAAAAAAAAACATACATAGCTTAAATATTAACTCTTCTAACTTTTTTTGATACAAAATCGTTCAAGATATCCTGAAAGGTAATCTTCTCCAACACGTCATTTTCAATTGCCATTATAGCCAATGAATTTAACCTTATGAAAGTAGCTTGGCCATAGAATATACATACTTGGTAGGTACCAGTATAGTAAGTGTGCATTCACAACAAAGAGTTTTGAGCGTTTTTAATTAAATTACCGCGATAAAATTGCTTGCAATTATATTACTGCGTTATAAACTTTTAAACTAATCATAATAATAATATCTAATAAGGAATGCGTTCCGAAATGTACTAAAATAGCGTCGATGTAATGTACAGAGCAAATTTTCAAATTAATTTTTTACTGTTTAAGAAACATTGCTCAGTCTTTTCCCTGTAGCACAGGGGCCCCTGAACGTGGCAGGGCCCCTAGGCAGTTGCCTATAATGCCTAATGGATAAAACGGCCCTGAACATATAAAAATCTATATGTATATATAACTACCTTGTCCTCTAAATATATAAGTCCTATCTCCTCTCTGCCATTTGTTGTTCTCGAAGCCCACCAGTGTAGTATCGACCCGCACGTTAGCACCACGTTTGTACACCTTGTATGTATCAAAAGGACACATTCTAGACACGAGCGGCACTGAAACAAACATACATATATTATAAATACATATATAATAATAATTCTGTGTTCTTAATAAAATTTTTCTTTTCTCTCATCATTCCTTCCATAATCAGCTTAAATACACAATAGATGAAAAGCAAAACATTCAACACTCACCCTAAATTTAGATATTATTACCAACCAGATAAATTTAATGTAAGTTTTAGTATTGGACAAAGAAATTATTTCTATATAATTATACATAAACTACTCCATTTATAAGTATTTGTGAGAAGCCACAATCAAATCATTTAAAACAATGTTACTTTGAATATCATACAAGTTAGTATTCATAGATAATCTCACCCCAGCTAGTAAACTCCCATTTCATCTCCACATAGAAGTCTGGTGCGAGGCTCAACTTATTCAGTAGATCAGGGATGCCACTAGATCGGACAACATGCCTCTGATAGTCCCGTCGACCCAGAACCAATGATAGTAACTCAGGGTTGCCAGTTGCTGTTGCTTCTTGGACCGCTGTGATTAAAATAATATTTTTTTATTTATGTATATCGCAAAAGATACAAAATACGCAATATTCAAATTTTTTGAAAAAAACGACGAAAAAATCTATACAGAATATAACTAAAGTATTGTAGTTCATATTTTGGAAAGTATATAGTGTGTATAAATTATTTTTTATATGTGAATAAAAACTAATGCTCCTAATACATAGATATATAATATTGTAAATAAAATTTTTAGTTTGTTGTGAATATTACAATAATAAAAATATATATATACTTAATCTGTTTTATGACATTTTCAAACTATAAATAAGAAAGTGATGAGATCTAAGATTTTTGTGAGTTTTATTCATTTAAATAAAACAAATATTTTTCAGATTTTACCATGCGACTATATTTTTGCAATAAGGTAATGTTTAATATATATAATAAACCTCCAACCTGTCCATCCGTCCTTCTCACAGTTGACATCAGCATCAGCATTGATCAATGCCTGTACACACTCAATGTGTCCCAGAGTCACAGCCAGTAATAACGGAGTTCGACCACGGGGATCTTTTCTCTCTATATCTTCCGACGTAAACTGTAATTAACACATAACTATTACATTAAAATCATTTTAAGATACAACAAATTATAATCTTGTACATTTTAAACTTCAAACATAGTATTGCAACGATGTCAAGTAAAAAAAGACTTAAAATATATATAAAATAAAGTTCAAATTTGATGACAACAATACATCTATTCAATAATACTTTCTAACTTATCTCTTGATAACATAATACTGATTGATAAAGCATAGAACATACATGACTAACATTTACATACAGCTAACTAGACTTTTTATATGTAATGATAATTTCCACAAGAAATTTATAACAATATTATTTTATATAGTAGTTTTACTTAATAAGTACTTGTGAGTATTATACACAGAAAGACAATATAGTTAGTCAGTAGAGAAGCTAGCATCAATTTACAATACTGTTCTGTCAAGAATTGCCAATAAGAAAATTAACAGTTTTTGTACTAACAACTATTATTTACTAAATAACTGATCGATGAATAATTTATACTAATCGGAATTTTGCACAAAGAATTAAGACTAATAAATTAAAAGAAAAATAACATAATACCTTAAATTTAATGAGAATCTTTGATATTAAATTAAAAGGTGTTTCTAATCTATGCTACTTCTGACTCATTTAAATATTATACCAAATTATAATGCCTATTATAGTCTGTACAAGGAGAAAAAAAAGCAGTAAATTACTAAAAATACATCTATTATATTTATTTTTTGTGCTAATTTATTACATAACAGGAAAAAAATGATAAAACAATACCTAATAATATAATTACAACAGTATTATGTAGATATTTCAAATGTTTTTTTTTTATAATCACAATTTAGAAATTAAAATTTTCCTTAAGGTTATTTTGGTGGAGATCTTTTATGTTTAATAGATTAATAATAAATGTGAACATTGTAAAAAAATATATATGCTTCCTTAAATTCCTAGAACTTTGTCATCTTTTTTTGTAGATAAATATAAGCATTAGGTATTTAATAATTAAATGATGTTTTTAAATATTGTTTTACTTTTTTAATTTTATTTTAATAAAAGCCAACAAGCAAACAGTAACAAGATTTCCTGTTCACATAATATTTGGCGATGTTTAGTGTTCTAATCCACAGTTTGATGGCTTCATAATGGATAATAGGATTATTTGTGATGTCTACATGGCAGAAAAACATTTCAATTTATTCATTTATGGGTAAAATCTTAAGAAATTCATATATAAACATTATGAAAATACAATATGACTCAATTAATAATATATTTTGTATTAAAAAAAGCCTAAAAACGCGATTTTTGTATCGAATAATAATATTTAAGTTTGTTTGTTGAGGTTATGTCAAGATTCGACATATATTAGATAGTAAAACATGTTTGTACTCGCCTTATTGGCTTCCAAAGCATTTTTCAACTCATTATGATTGTTATTCCAAACAAGCCAATGGATTGGATATCGGTTGGATACTTCTTCAGACGTCAGAGACATTATCAAAACAACACACACACTAGTTTAGGTAAAATTATTTCAAATTATTATTTACACTAATTTAAACTAGGTAAATATAGCGCACGTCACTTTACATATAAACACATTGTAAATATAAATATCGGAATTCAGAAAACAAAAAGTTTTCAAAGAATTCAATCACGTCCCGAACGACGTAAACGTCAAACTAAATTCTGTTAACTAAATGATTTGACGTAACACACATCACCGTGATCAAAAGTGGTAATCTATCAAAGTATATTACTTGTATAAAAAAAAAATTTAAATCCCAGTTATAATAATGGTTCTCATTACTTTCTCTTCCTAGATTAGTTGACAAGAATAATAAAATTAGTATAAAATTGTACAAGACCGACGTAAGTGAAGAATATATTATTGAAAGCACATTATTAACAAAATAATTTTGGAAAATTTATGATGTATAAATGCAAATATGTCAAAAAAAAACTGTTATTTCAATAAGTTACAGTAAACAAAATTTTCCGTTTTCTGAAAACATAGCTTTCATAAACTAGAGTGGGGATTCATTATAATCTCAAAGAGTTAAGAAGGACGGTACCCAAGATATGGCGCGGTTCTGTTCTCAGATCAGACTCCGAGAAAAGAGGCAAGACGAAGATTAATTACTTAGATTCATGAGGTAAACCATTCGTATCGCTTATTTTACAAAATTTGAAATCGCACCTTTTTAGAACTGGAAAGAAAAATCAAAGAAATTTATATATATGTCTTAGTCTTAATATAATTTTTTAAACAATTTATACTTAAAAAGAACTTTATTTATCTAATAAATATGTTTAATTTTAAATTTATAGTAATTTCACTTTCGTCTACTTGAACTAAAATAGTGGCATTGACAAGAAAAATATTTATGACAATTGACAGCTCAGAAATAATTATTTATAAAAATATGAAAATATTATGAAATTAGTTAAGTTTAAATTAGAAAACACTTGAATGACTTGAAGAAATGATATAATAGTTATTGAAATATGTACAGAACAATAAACCATTTGGTCTCTAATAAAAGAATATGTCTAGAAATTCATCCGAACATATTACCTAGGGAAATTAATACAAAAATAAATAGAAAAGTACAGGTAAGAGGCTGATGCAAAGTGTGACTTTTTAAAAATATAACCATGTTACTATAAAATTCATCTTTTTTAGTCAAACAGAGATAAGAGAGTAAATTTACGTCATCTATATACAGTTTTTTTCTTGATTTTTATTTTTTTTCATATAGGTATGTCTGTAGTTTCTTTTTATATAATATAGATCTTACTACAAATTGCTAACAATGAAACCCTCCTAGAATAAAGGCAATTTGAAAAACAATTATTAGTTCATGTTCGTTTATCCAAAACATGATAGATCATATTCAAAATAAGTGAATCATACAGAAAAGGCATGTCATGATGGTGGATGGGTCAGTTATGTTAAATGGTATTTGAGTAGAACTATATAAGAAAAACGATCTGAAAAAGTTACTCAAGAAAATAACCTAGGTATGTGAGTACATATCTATGTCTCAGACAAAAAAAATGTGCAGTTTGAGTCTAGATGGTAGTATTTCTGGAAAAGATTATGGTGCAGAACTCTGATGTTAGTAAGATACACTTTGAGAGAAGTGCAACTGTTATGAAAACATCCCTGTCCCTATTTTAAAGCAAGCAAATACATTAATTAAAATGAAAGAAGGTGGTAGAACAGGGCTTTGAACATCATACAACACAGTCAGACTCACAATGACTTCATGGGTCTACTTTGGGGTATCTGGCCCGCTTGCAAACTGTCATTCTAGAGTCACTTTGGAATTTCACACAGTTATCGGGAAATCAGAGCATCCATATTTGGATTCCATTACCCTCTATAAACAAGTACCCAACACAATGAAAATGTTGGTATATTATACTAGCCTCAAATTACGAACAACAGTTCAGACCCTTCCTCGCAATGAAATTGACAGTCATTATAATGGAACCCAAAAATAGGTTGGCGCCATAACTTTATCTTAAGTGATTAACTGGTTTTGGTGTTGCCGATGGCCAATGTTTGGGCTTCTCCTTGAAAAAATCTTGACATATTTATTTTATTGTTACATATATATATTTAAAGCAATTTTTTTAAACATTGATATATAAACTCATTCAAAATTTTGTTATTTTTCAGAAAAGCTACCAAGTGTTAGACATACCAATCAACTCCAGCCAGGATGTAGTGAAGAAAGCATTCTTAGAATTGGCCAAAAAATACCATCCCGACTCCAATTCGCCAGAGGCAGATATCAATAAGTTTGTTGAAGTAGAAAATGCCTTTCGGACACTTTCCAAACATAACACAGGCAATACAAATTCAGAGGAAGTTGAAAAAATTGTGTATGATATTCGGGTATTGATATATGATTTTTTCTAAGCAGCACTCAAAATAACGAGATAAAGAACTGTAATATATCACAATATTGTTATTTCCAGCATACAGCACCACAACATCGTCAGTATTTAAGCTATGAAGGTGTGGGATTTGGAACTCCCTCACAACGACAAAAACAATACACCCAAGCTAGGGCACAAAGAGCAGCTAATAATGTTATGGAACACCGAGTCGCTAAGGCTGCAGCATCAGATAATACACTCATGAAGAAGGAACCGCTGAAGAAACATGATATTAAAACAAAATATGGCTTTGACAGGCTCGTAGAGGATCTCATTCAAGAATCCATGTCCAAAGGAGAGTTTGAGAATCTAAGCGGCAAAGGAAAGCCTTTGAAGGATCAAAATAACAATCCCTATGTTGATTTTACTACTCATAAGTTGAATGAGGTGTGCAATGTTTTTGTTGTTGATTACTCTACTACATATCACTATTTTGCACATAACAATAACACCTACTATAGAAATCATTTAGTAATTCGCCACATTATCTATCATTAAATAAACCAAACATTATGAGATCTAAGATTTTCTCGTTTATTCATTTAAATGAAACTTATATTTTTCGGATGTCCTACGCTATTTTTTATTTTGATTATAAACTACTTACATTTTTTTATTTTGATTATAAACTGTGATCACGGGCAGACTAGATCACATCTCGTCTGCCCGTGATCACGATTGCTGTAAAGTAACCGAAACCTTGGGAGTATGTAGTTTATAATCAAAATAAAAAATCGCCTAGTACATAGTACATACATCCGAAAAATATTAGTTTCATTTAAATCAAACATTATAAATAATATGTTTAATATTATTTGTAGGTGTTAATAAACAATGGCTTCACACCAGAGTGGATCACCATGAGTAAAGAAATAGATGAAGATATTGAACTGCTAAAGAAAGAAATAACTAAGGATAGAATGTATCTAGGACCATATCCCTTAACTAATGATGACCACACCAAGTGGGAGAGGATATGTGAATGTAACCGACTCCTGTCACAGTCTATTAATGTTAAAATAAATACATTCAACTTAATTGTACCGCTGTTGAATAAACAGAAATTCCATGTAGACTTTGACAAGATATCCGATGACATACTTAAGAATGGACCACATTCTAAAGTCAAAGAGCTGGTCAAAGATGTACAAACTTCATCAAATACGGTTCAGGATCATGAAGATTTTATAAGCTTGTTATTCAAAGCTCTGGGTGAAGTGTTCTCCTTCAGAAAACAAAAGAAAAACGTTAGCGATTGATATATTAGTTTTATATACATACATAATCTGTGATACTTTAGTCTAGTACTAGAAATGTAGACTTGAAATAAAACACAACATAATAATTCATATATTTTATTTAACATAATCTTATATCTATCACGTGCGGAAATATCTATATAATATCATATATCAAAAAAAAAATTATTTCAACATGAAAAACACGATCATAATGTATACAACATTTATATATTTTATTCGAGCTAAATGTACACAAATAAGGCACCTCTTGGAAGACGGTTATTATGGAGTGTGGCATAAATGCATTGTTGATATATCATACTCTTTTTGTATGTAGTATGTGATGTTTTCATGAATGCCATATGATGGTGTCTTCATGCAGCCTTACACGGCCTGTAGCTAGCAACCTTAGCGCTTGAGGGTAGGCGCGGTGTTCAGCTGACAGTATCCTGTCGCTTAGAGCCTGCTCCGTGTCTCCAGGCATCACTGGTACACGTTCTTGGAGTATGATTGGGCCAGTGTCCATACCCTCCTAGAAATAAAAAAATTGTTAATTATGAGTAATACATATAAGAGAAATATGATTTGATAATTTGGAATTTATATCTATTGATAGTAGTTGATTGTTGGAGGAGTCAATTTGTAAGATTTATATTGGTATTCGATTTGAAGTATTACATCAAAATTGTTTCAATGTTAGAAACATAATCATACAGATGATGATAATTTGAATATAATCATATTTGATAATTAATTATTTTACTCAAAAAATATGTTGTCAGTAAAACATAGTAGTCAGAGTGATAATAGAATTATATTTTAACATTTTAGTTTCCAAGATTCTTATTAAGCAAGAATCCAATCGGCTATGTTAGTGACATTTATTATTATATACTGGATTTTCACTACAGACCACCACAAACAAAATGGTCCTTATATGTATGTTTATAGAGTGTATATTAGTACTAACGTCAACGAAGTGTACGGTGCAGCCCGACTCCTTGTCTCCGGCTTGTAGACACTGTCTCTGCGCGTGCAGACCGGGGTGAGCCGGCAGCAGCGACGGGTGGATGTTGATGAGGCGGCCCTTCCACCTGGAGGAAACATACACATTGACAGTATGACTTATATATATACACTATCACTATCATATATATCGCACGCTGAGAACGAAAGTGACTCAACTCAAAATTGCTAATTTTTGGGAAAGAGCGAAAATGTGTCCGTCGTATTAAACATTTTCTGTTCATTTTACAATAACTCTAAAACATGGTAACAAAAGTTATGAATTTCTGTTGAAATTTATTGTTTCACTAAATAGCTTTAGAAACATTATATAGTTTTTGCAAAAAAAATATGATTTTCTCGTATAAAATAAAGTTTAGAAAAAAAAACGAAAAAATAGGTCACTTTAGTATTAGAAGTTTTTTATTTCTACTGACCTTTTTAGGTGAAGGTCTGTTCATTTCTAACTTTGTTTTAAAAAAATATGTTTTTCTAAAAATAAGTCAGTTTCATTTTTAAGATTTTGTTTATTTTTTCAAAAAAGTTAATAAAACAGTGAAGTATGACGTGTAAATGTCATTTAATAAATCACTCCTTAAAATAATATAATATAAAAATAATGTAAAAGGAACCTAAATCTGAATCGGTCAGTTTATGACTATAAATTGTAATAAAATTACCTCCGAAATTGACAAACAAACAGACACAAAGCGTAATCGGTCACTACGTTGCTAAACTTGTCACGACAACTCACGGTGCAAGATTGATTTCGTCACTTTCATTCGGGCGCGGGGGGAGGGAACGCTTGAGTGACAAAGAGACCGAAATATACCTCTATCCTTTTCTTACCTTTATTGGTCAGGTTTCTAATATAATTATGATAGAATATACTTTTTTAAGTCATTCTGTATACTTAACTCATTTAACCAAAATTTTGAAATCGGTCACTTTCGTTCTCAGCGTGCGATATATCTACTAATATTATAAATGCGAAAGAAACTCTGTCTGTCTGCCTGTTACGCTTTCACGCCTAAACCACTGAACTGATTTTAATGAAATTTGGTACAGAGATAGTGTTGACCTTGAGAAAGAACATAGGATAGTTTTTATTCCAGACTTTTGAAAGGTTCTCTTGGAAACGGATATAACCGAACTTCACGCGGGCGAAGCTGTGGGCCGAAAGCTAGTATATATATACAAAAGTGATAGTATATCATGACAAATAGGTCCAGCCGTACAATTAGCCGGAATAAGTATACAGATAAGTTTAATCAAAATATTTTTTGTATCACATTTCATATATTTTCATATTGAGTGAAAACCTGTTCATTTGAAATGAAATAAACATCATTATCATCATCAGCCTATCAGAGCCCACTGCTGAACCAAGGCCACTTCTCACATGCAGAAGATTAGAGCATTAATCATCACACTTGCTCAAGACGGGTTGGCGATTTCAAACTTATCATTTGAAATTATAAGTCCAGGTTTCCTCATGATGTTTTCTTCATCTGTCAGTTGTGTCTAAATACTCTTATAAAGTAGGGTACATATGACCTCTAGGCCACCATGACCTATAACTATATTATATGAGAGATATGTATATATAAATCAGTGGTGGCCTAGTGGTTAAAAGGCCCGCTTCTCATACTTGAGGGCGCGGGTTCGATCCTGGCAATGGCAAGTACCAATGTAATTTTTCCAAGTCATATGTACTTTTTAAGAGTTTTTAGACACCACTGATTAATGCATTCCCAAAGAGGGTTGATGTCAGGCAGACCCTGGCTAAAGCTGGGAAATTGCCAGGTAGAAGATGAGAGACATGTATATACGTTACTTCTTAACAAATCCGGGCGTGAGTATCCTCATGAAGCCGGCCAGACACACGATGTCTATTCTATGCGCGTCCAGGGCGCCGCTCAGCTCGCGGTCGTAGTCCTCGCGGCTCGGGTAGTCCTTGTGGCTCAACACCTGGACATACATATTACACATATAATATTTATAAGTTTATAGTAAATAAGATTAATATTTCGTGATGTACTATACGTTGTTATATTTTTTTAAACTATTATATATCCTGAGGTTCTGTTCTTTTGGAGACCGTGAGCACGGCAGACGAGATGACAAACAAATTTTTTAGTTTTAATATAATAATAAAATGCGCAGTATATACGATAGTCTTAGTTTCATTTAAATGAAAACACGCGACAATATTAGATATTACAACTTTACAATAGTTATGTTTTAGCTGTCTCTCTACGTTATGTTCTCAGTACCAATGTTTCCTATCATCCCTACTAATATTATAAATGCGAAAGTAACTCTGTCTGTCTGTTACGCTTTCACGCCTAACCACTGAACTGATTTTAATGAAATTTGGTACAGACATAGAGTTGACCTTGATAAAGAAGAAAGGATAGTTTTTAACCCAGACTTTTGAAAGGTTCTCTTGGAAACCCGATATAACCGAACTCCACGCGGGCGGAAAGCTAGTATATCTATATATCTAGTAGTATGTAGTATTACCAGTGTATTGACCCCGGCGTCCCTTGCCCGTGTTAGCGCGTACGCGTCGTGTTTGTTGCTGATCACGAGCGCTATCTCCGTGCACATACACTGTCCAGGGTCCGCCGAGCTGTCCATCAGCGCCTGCAGGTTACTGCCGCTACCTGATACAAGCACCGCCACCTGACCACACACACACACATATACAACATGAATCAATATGAAATAACTTGATACGACGCCATTATATTTGGAACATTGTACGGATTATATAACAAGTATAATTAATTATATACGATTTTTAGATTTAATATATTTTGTAAAATTGAAATTTAGGCGAGTTTGTTTGATACTTAAAAATTATATATTTTACACTTGGATTTAATTGTCTGACAAGAACAGGCTCTATATCCAAAATAATGTAAAGGTTATGGTATAATTATAATTCGTACCCTCTTCTTAGTGAGATGCGGCATCCGTCTCGTGAAGTCTAGGGCGGAGGTGAAGTTGTCAACGAGCACGCGAGCGCCGCCCGGGGGGCGAGCTTGTATGGAGCCGATCACCATCGCGCCGTGAGAACGAGTTATATTCATCACCTGGAATATGATAAATACATCAAACTCAATCACTGACCAAATAATCATAGACGCTATATTGAAGGACGCTATATTTGTTGGTGTTTATCCTCGAGTTCATGGTGTTCATACTGTAATTTCTTCAAAGGAAGGAGATTTGTACCAGTGATCTTGTTTCATTTAATAGATTAAAACTACCAAACTATTACATAATTTTTTACGACCTTACGATGTAATTGATCATTTGAGTGTTACGTAACGTTTAGAGAAGAGGAGAGGGAAAACGTAACGGTGCGTTACAAGGGTGGTGGGGGTCAAAAATCTTCGAAAATTGCGTTACGTAATACTTGAACGCTCCTTAATTGGAAATTTGTTTGAGCTCTATATATATGATTTAAATAGTAGATACATCACCTCTGCCTGGTGTTCGGGAGACACTATCAGCACCAGTCCGATGCCACAGTTGAATGTCCTCAGCATCTCGTCGTTCTTGACCTCGCCGGTCTCCGCGATCCATGCGAACACCTGAAACATGACATGTATGTTGATAGGAGGCTCTACGACTTACGTATAGTGCGTTTGATTTAAGCTGAGCTTTGCATTTGTGTGAGTACACACGGATAGTGTAGGTGTGATGTCAAATTTTTGAATGCTACATTCTTTTCTAGTTTTGAACAGGTTTACTGCTTATACTCCGCCCCGCACCCTCCGCACTTCACCCTTTGTACTGGTAGCAACGAAAAATGTTGAAAACGCAACGTCAAATAAAGAAAAATTTGTATTGTTTTTTTTTAATTTTTTATTACTTAATATATATTTTTTCACAATATTTCCATTTGGCCTTTTACAAGTTTTGCTTATTTTATTTTTAATCTAGAATAGCTCGAGAACTTATGTTATGTATCTGTTTAAAATATAATAAAATTGTAAAAGTTTTAAAAGTTTTTCTTCTAACTCTATTTTTACTTTCACTCACACAAATGCAAAGCTCAGCTTAAGTCTAACGGACTATACTATAATGAAACCCGTGTGATATAAATACAGGGTGTTCCTAGCCCGAGACATATATAGAGGTATATATACATACAGGGTGTACTTTCCACCAGTGCGCGTTGAGCCTGGCCCGCACCGAGTCCGGCATGACCCGCGGGATGTTCTCCATGAGTCCGCCGCCCGTGATGTGAGCCACCGCCTTCACCACGCCGCGCTGCAGAGCCGGCAACACGCTGCGGACGTAGATACGGGTCGGCTTGATTAGCTCCTGGCCTGGGAAATGTTAATAAATAATAAATATAACGTTCATACGGATGGATGTAGGGGCAAGGAGGTAAAAGGAACGCGGGGGAGGGGTCACCACCAAGAGAGGAAGGGGGGGGGGAATCAGCAGACTCAGTTATAAGGTTAATATTTTTCATATAGTTTTTACTGCAAGCTGCAATGCTTTTAAACATCGTTCTAGTTAGGGATTTGAATACGTGGTTATTAGTTTATTTTCAATGGACTTTAATTAGTATTCATAATACCCGATTTTGAGACTAAGTAAATAAAAAAATGTCTACACACAGATTTATACTACTGTATTATTTGTACATACATGGATATACAAACATTATTAAATAATTATAAAAACGATTGGAATTTGTTTTTTTTTATATCATAAAGAAAAAATATAGTTGAATAATATACACCAGTACTCCTTATAAAGATTCGAGTGTAGGTAAAGTTATATAACTGACCTAGAGTAAGTCCTTCTTCACTGAAGGGCGCCTTGTCTTGTAGACTCAAACCCGCCTTCTTCATCAGACTGTGAATGAGACTGAACCCGTTGCTGTGAACTCCGTTTGATGGAAGACCTATTATTATATCACCCACCTGGAACCAGGGAAAACATTCAGTTACTAGTACATTCCCCGACTTTTCTTTCTTTTAGACATCGAATTAGATGTATTGAGAGAGAAATTAATGCTATATATACTTAAAATATATATGGTAAGTAGTGCCATCTACAGTTAATAATAGGTTACTTCCTACCAAATATCAAACTATGTACCTTGGAGAAGTTCACGAATTACAAAAAACAAATCTATGTTACTTGGATGTCCTGACAAAGTAAATGGAAAGTTTAATCACTATCCCTGGTATAGTTTTTTAGTTAAAGAGTAAAACAATATCCTAAAAAGCTTTTCCTCATATTAGAACAATTATTATTAGCATTCAACTTCATTAGAGATTGTTTTCCATTGAAATATTTTCCTATTCATTAATTGAAAGTTTTACATTTCTATTAAGAATTAAATATTATTTTTTGTGAGTACTATTTGTTTATATTCAAACATCGTCTCACATTAATGTCATTGATCTTAGGCAGTATGTTGTCTCTCTCCACGACTCCTAGCGCGAACCCTGCGATGTCATACACTCCCGCTTCGTACATGCCCGGCATCTCGGCTGTCTCACCACCTGAAAGATAATTAGGTATATCATAAGGGCTTGAAATATACATACAAATCAACCAAAAATCCTCAGAAGTGATAGAGATTCTTGAGATTAACCATAGACAATTACATATTTAGACATCACTCATTAATGCTGATTCCCAAAAGAGGGTTGATGTCAGCAGGCGGCCGGTCTTAAAAACAATTAGCTAAAACTATTCACAGCATGTAAGGCAGACACTGGCTATAACCAGGAAATTGCCAGGTAGAAGAAGAAGAATGTTAAGGGTTGTATGTGCCTAACGGTTGTTAGTGAGTGTATTTTATTTTTTATTTATTTAAAGGTACATCAACGTCACAGTTATTTAACACACATAAACAAACAGATAAAATCGATAATTCTAGGACCTGATAAGAGTGACAATTAGAGACGTACACAACATTCACAAAAAGAAAAATATAAAACTTATTGTCTACCTTATAATAAAATAACAATATACAAAACTACAAGAAAAAGTATAACTCATTAAAAAAAAAACTATACTATAACTACAAAAAAAAAAAAAAAACTATAAATCATTAAACTAAAAACATGTGACAAAGTGTGATTAACTATATGACAGACTATGATGATATTTGGTGGATTTTGTTTTTAAATTTGGGCAAGGCATCAGCAAACACGTCCAAATGCGGGATTTTGGAGCATATTTTGTTGTACTCGGAACAAAGTCTATTTATGGGACAGTGTTTGCCAATGTTGGTGCGAGAGGCCGCTGTGTAGAATATATGATAAATAGGCTTTCTGGGGGGTCTCCTGGGTACTGAGATGTCAATGTACGACAAAAGGTGCTCACTCTTAACTACCCCGTTAATAATTTTATATAGGAAAATTAAATCGTGCATTTGCCGACGTTTACATAAGGTTTCCATTTTAAAAAAATTTAAACGCGTGTCATAAGGTGTTCTGTGAGATATTCCACTACAATTAAAAGCAAGAGATGTGCAAGCATCAGCAAGAAAGCAAGAGTGTATATGTATATATGTATGAACCGACCGATGAGCGCGGCGGAGGCCTGCTTGCATCCGTCAGCGACTCCCGCCACCACGTCCCTGGCCACGGTCACGTCTAGCGCGCCGCACGCGAAGTAGTCGAGGAAGGTGAGCGGCGCGGCTCCGTTACACAGGATATCGTTCACACACATGGCCACCAGGTCCACGCCGATGGTCGTGTGGCGGTTCATCTTCTGAGCCACGCGCAGCTTGGTGCCCACGCCGTCCGCTGCCACTACTAGCACCGGGTCCTGGGACATTAACATGTATAGACACACGAGGTTATGGTACGCGTTATACTACGCGACTTTATTTTTGATAAAGACTACATACTCCCGACGTTTCGGCAACCGTGATCACACAGATTAGATGTGGTACGCATTATATATCTAAAATTTGACTATTATATTTTATATCAATGATGTTTACTATAAATATATTGCATTATACGAACAACGTCCATCAATATGAATGATTATAAAAATGACTTAAGTTTGTCGCTTGTTATATAGTATATACTTGTTATATAAGATAATATATAATATATGTTAGTTAAATGTATTGTTATATATATCCTATACATACCTTATACTCCTGCTCCACAGCCTTCAGCTGGAAACATCCTCCGAAGCCTCCCAGACCTCCTAGGACCCCGGAACGAGATGTTGATCTGTGTACAACACAATTATTAAATTCACTCTAATCTTAAAATCACCTACACACACACACACACACACACACACACGTGCTATAACATATTATCTTAATTCTATATCTTTGTAAGTCAAACTTATTTCTTCTATATGTGTCATAGATTTACTTATACGGACCTAGCCAATGGCTTTATGAGTGAGACGAGTGAGTCCCCAGCCTCGATGTCGACCCCGCTGTCCTTGTATGAGAGTGACTTCTGTATCGGAGTACCGGACGAGTAGGGCGAGGTCAGCGGAGACATGGCCTGCTGGAAGTTCTCCACTATCACCTGCTGACCACCTGGAGATAACAAGGCTCGAGTTACTACTAGTTATATACATACATATAATAGACATTCCCAAGGAGGTTTGATGTCGGGCAGGCGGCCGGTCGTAAAAACAAATATTCATAACTATTCACAACATGTAAGGCAGACCCTGTCTTAAGCAGGGAAAATGGTAGGTAGAAGATTTAATAGAGAGGATTTTATTACATTCTAGTTACTAACTCTCTTCTTCTACCTGGCAATTTCCCAGCTATAGCCAGGGTCTGCCTCACATGTTGTGAATACTTTTGGCTAATTGTTTTTACGACCGGCCGCCTACCTGACATCAACCCTCTTTGGGAATGCATTAATCAGTGATGTCTAAATACTCTTAGAGAGTACATCTGACTCGGAAAAATCACATTGGTACTTGCCAGGGCTAGGATCAAGCCCGCGCCTTCGTGCATGAGAGGTGGGCCTTTTAACTACTAGGCCACCACATTTACATACATATAATAGAGAGGAAAATATAAGGATTTTATTACATTCTAGTTACTAAACGTATATTCGTGGAGGGGATGTAATAAAGTATAATTAAATAAAATAGATTTGGATATGGACTGGCAGCGCCATGTCCCGTAACACGTGATTTCACACGATATAAAATTTTTAAGACTTATCCGTAAGGAACGCTTGGATTATTTAAATAAATTATGTATAATGTTTTACTGAAATACACGACCCTGTAAAGTGTCATCAAAATCAGTAGATTCTAATAATTATAGCAGTTTTATGATAACTTGCCAGATCACTATGTGATTTTATTCATGTAGGAAGAAATTATATTTTTTATAATATTACTATAGTAAAATAAACTTATACATATGTATAACTCAGTGTTGCCATACTAAACTTCAGTAGCAACACTTTCAATAATCAGTATATGAGTGATAATAAGCGACAGGTCAGGGTATTTTGTTTTCCGAACCGGTGGTAGTGTCTCAAGTGACCATCAATAAGAAAGTGTAATTTTTCTATATTGAATAAAGTTATTTGAGTTTGAGTTTGACGTTTCCAGGTGTTACCAACCTTCGAGCCTGGTGTCTTCAAGCTGTCCCACCACACTGATGGTGCCGTCAACCGCCGCAACCAGCTCGCTCACCAGCACCGGGTCCGCTATCACCACCATTCCTACACCACAGTTGAACGTACGGAGCATCTCGAAGTCCGATACCATACCTTTAAAATTCATTAGCAAATATCAAGTCATTTTGTATGAATAATATATATTAAAGGTATTACATTATAAATTTTATTATATTAAATAGTATTAAGATAAAATTGTATACTGGCAACATTGTGCATCACGGAGAACTGATATGTAAAATTGTAAAACGGTTTGGTTTTCGTTCAAAAAGAAATATATTAACTTTATAGAAATCTTACTCTTATTTTAATAACCTGATCCCAATAAAAGGTATAAAAGACATTTTTAGTCAAATACTTGAAGTTTTACTGAAAGCCCTCAATACCTTCATGTATTTTTTTATGCTATAGGGAGCACCCGAGCAGACGGCCTATCTGATTGCGGTAGTACCGTCGCGCAAGGAAGGAAAAGAGAAATTGCAGGAAAGGGTGAGAAAAGGGAAAGGGCAACTGTCTCTCTCACTCATCGGACGAAACGCAGCCATTAAAGACTACTCCACGCCGATCTTCTATCAATTTGTAGTGTAATATTAGTAGTATGTAAGTCAGATGTTGTATTAATATTAAGATCGTTGCGTTGATTATTCAGTAATAAATCATCTTCTACCAACCACACTCGTTTCAATAACATAAGTCCCCTCAAATTCATTAAGTGTACAAGTGTGTATCACCTTTAGCTTGCAGCCAGCCGAAGATAGGGTTAATCTGGAACTTGGTAGCATCAAGTCTGACCCGGACTCCAGGCGGCAGTATTCGGGGGATGTTCTCGAGCAGGCCCCCGCCGGTGATGTGCGCGAGGCCCTTCACGAGGCCCCTCTTGATGGCCGGCAGGAGGGCCTTCACGTAGATACCGGTCGGCTCCAGGAACTCCTCGCCGAAGTTCTTGTTGGATTTACTGAACGGAGCCTTCTCGTAGAAACTGAAAATAGAATGAGAGTCAGTTATACGAACTTACAATTTTGATTGCGTATTCGTAAATAGAATAACCATTGTTTACGTTGATAAGAACACATTGAAAGAAATTTCCAGAAGGCTTATAATACATATATATTGGGATTGGCTTGCAAATTGCAACCAATATAAATTGGGAAGGGAACAAATATAAATATTTAAATAATATATAAAAATCAAATATAAATATATATAATCGTCAAATTTCTTACATTATTTAACGTCCAGCTATACATCTAAACATTCATCTTTACTATCCATATATATTTAACTGTAATATAGCACCTAATCCCGCATATTATTATCTACCATGCTCTATGAATGTCTTGAATCAATCAATATAATTCTCTACCATGTTTTATAATGTAATGTCTTTAACCTGTGTCCACTCTCAGCCATAATCCGCTGTACAAGGCTGTACCCGTTGCTGTGTACGCCGGTAGAGGGCAGCGCTAACACCACGTCCCCGGGCCGTATCTCGTTCAACCGCGGCAGCTGCTTCAAGTTGTCAACCACGCCCACCGCGAACCCGGCTAAGTCGTACTTGCCCACGTCGTACATACTAGGCATTTCTGCTGTCTCTCCCCCTGGTGTATACAGGGTGTTATAACTTATATATAGAAATAACTTAGTGTATATTGTAATGATCTAATAAGTTGTATTAAGAATTAGGACATAGAAACTGGATATAATTGAAGGAGTAGTGTGAAATTTTATTCCTTACACTCGTAGTTCTTATTAATTATAATAATTTATTATTATTATTTTATTTTATTATTTTTATGTAATATAAATCGATTACAGTTTTAAGAACCTATATGAATGATTTGTATTTTTTTGTACACATATGGAAACTTTTGTTAACATCAAACAAATTTAACGGACTCACGGGTATAGACTAGTGCTACTAGACTTGTCAGGAATTAAAATAACATTCAGATATGGGACGTCATTGAAACTAGAATGTATGTCAAGATATACTAGAAATAATAATAATAATAAACAAATCAAGAAACTATATATATAGATAAAATTGTATACCTATCAAATAAAATAGACCTACTACCGCCATCAATCGTAAAATATTATCATTAAGAATATACATATAATGTCACCTTTAGTACAAATAAATTAGTCATGTCACTGTTTTCAAGTAAATTGGCGTTTCATCATGTATATAATACTAATCAGTTCAGATTGGTATATATTGCAATGTCATATATATTTATCGCCCCTTACCTAACAAAGCACAGCCGGCTAGAACACAAGCGTCAGCGATTCCTTTAACGATGGTGGTGGAAGTGTGAAGCTGCAACCGGCCACACGCTAAGTAGTCGAGGAAAGCGAAGGGCTCTGCGCCTGCGCACAGGATGTCGTTCACACACATGGCGACTAGGTCCTGGCCGATGGTGTCGTACTTCTGCATAATCTCCGCTATCTGAAACATATGGGAATAATGTTGAATATATTGTTTTCGCAGACCATGTTGATTTTCTGGGAAATCGGAATTAACTGAAGTTATTACCTGAATAATATCAGTATCACCTCATTATACAGGGTGACTGGTGAATTACTATCAATATTTAAGGAGCATACTCGGTACATGATTCTCATTCGAATTATGTAAAAAAAATAGGTACTTAATTTTTGACCAAATTTCCGTATAAATAAATAAAGTGTGTACACGTTCCAAGTGTTCCAAGTGTGGACGCGTGCGGCGGCGTGCTGATACAACACTACGCCGCCGCCGCGTCTGTGTGAGTGTGTGTGTATACCTAATCTGTAGGGTGTTCATACGATGCGTAATTAATTACATAACTTTTGGTTAACTTTACTTAGAAGTTTATTAATATTTATGTTATATTAATTTTTATTTTGTCATATATGATCGTCAAATATCACGTCCTCAAATATCGATAGTAATTCACCAGTCACCCTGTATATGTATAATATGTTTTTCGGGGCGCTTTATATTTCTACTTTCCAGTTCAATATTCATGTCGTGTACTAGTAACATCTCTCAATATAAGGAATTCAATACAAAGTCTGATTCTCTCACCTTGACCTTAGTCCCAACGCCGTCGGTTCCCTGGACCAGTACGGGGTCTGTGAGGCCAGGGTCAACGGCCGCCAGTTGGAACAGTCCGCTGTAACAGCCCAGCCGTCCAAGTACGCCGGGTCTGTGGGTCCCCGTGGCTAGAGGCTCCATCAGACGAACTAAGGCTGCTGCCGCTTCAATGTCCACACCGCTCTCCAGATATGATAGACCATTCATTCTGGGTGTTATAAGTGACCGATTAATTGTGTATAGACTTTACATCACTTAGGCTATGTTTTTTTCCGTAAGTTTTGGGCTGAATTTTTCATTTAATATTTGGTTCAAGATTAAATCCTATGATGGACATATTATGACTTATGGATTGATAGAAATATGAATTGGTGTTATTTATGAGATTAACAAAACATTTGAATTCCAGGTTAAAATTCCAGGTCAACTAAGGTTAATGATTGACTGGTTACTTGATACATCAGATTGTATGTTTCCAAGGATCATACGAACAAATTTTACCAGGATGCGAAATAAAATAAATGTATTATGAAGAATTATATTTATTGACACACAATGTGATACATGATAGCGTGTGATGTCCCCCACTCACTTGCAGAAGGCCCGCCTAGCTATGTCCTTCCTGTACTGTTTCCCGGGGAAGTCCACGGCGGATGCTGCTCGTGTGGCAGCAGCAGCGGCAGTCCTCAAGTCGGCCCTCCTTGCTGCTAGTAGCAGCACTCTACCTCCAGCCGTGACCAGGGAATCATTAGCTCCACGCGATACGCCGCTCATGAATACCACTACGTCTTCTCTAGATACTTGGGATAGACCTGGGCAGATATGGAATTCATGCATATATTTGCTTTATTATGGTAAATTATTTTAACATTGATTGATATGTTTGTTTTCTGAAGGTGCTAGAAATTTTGAATTTTAACCGAAACATATTTTGTCATAACTCATAGGACATATTATGCTATTAAGCTACGTGCTACCAATGTGTACTCGCGAAAATCTTAGATCTCATTACGTGCTACCAATTAGTGAAAAAAGTCCATGATATACATATATAGCAAAACGAGAGGAATGTAGTTCTTATAAGACGTTGAAGTTTCTCAATAATAATTAATTAATGTATGGTAAAATTACCATATAGATGAACCTATCAGTAAATCATTAAACCCGTACTTTTAACAAACGTTCATAGGATCAACTCTTATTGATAATGTCATGATCTACCCAAAAACAGTTTTAAAATAATTTAGAATTAAAAAATACTAAAATTACTTGCGAAAAATTTGTCTTTTGTATATATAGGAAATTCGTATATAGTAACTATACATCTGGGTAGGTGTTACTTACCGCTTATGACACAACCCTTGGTTGAACTCTCAGGGTAGCCCTTGGAGGCGATCACCACTCCCACGGCTGACATCGATGTGTTCCACTTGACCGGAGTTTCCTTCAACGTACCACTCACACACGCCTGGGAATTATACACTGACTTATGAAAGGTTCATACCGTACAAAAAAAGGTCATTTCTATTCCAAGCTAAGTAATAAGTGAAGAATAAGTGAAATATCCTTAAAACTTTTGACCTTGAAATAAATGAAAACTTCTTAATTCAAAACAATTTTATAAGTTGTCAAACAATGATATTTAAAATATAAATGTAGTCTATCATAATTAGGACTTCAATAAGGTGTATTTTACTGTAGCAGTTATACCTTAACGACGGAGTATAGATCCGATTCCAGTAACATCATGAGGACTTGCGTCTCCGGGTCTCCGAAGCGGCAGTTGAACTCCAGGGTCATTGGACCAGCCTTTGTCACCATCAGACCAGCGTAGAGGACCCCTGATAGACATACACGATAAAGTGACTGACATACTAGAGACAGACTTTGTTATTTGGGTATTTCAAGGCTCTTATTAGGCTAGGGTGCTTATTGCCATATTTATTGTTACAAGTGGCGCCATCTGAACTGTCATAATTATAATATACTTTAATCCTTAGAATTATTTTTATAACTGATTATACGTAGTATTTTTTTAATGGAACATTTAAGTGTCTGTGTTTGAAAACTATAAATACTGGCTTCAGTCATTTTGTAAGAGATTACTTGGATAACGCTCAACATTAAAAAACAAATCTGAACACTAATAACTCAATTAAATAATTTAATTAATATTCAAATAGAAAATATAGTATTGCAAAATCATTATAATGCTGGGACCTCTGGAATATCGCATTTCCAGGTCCCAGGTCTTAGCCCGGATATTTTTTTAGCTTATAAACATTTTTTTTTTAATTGTTATATATTATTTTTGGCCTTCCCTGTAAAATCATGGCCAACCTTGACATTGCCAAGACGTTCCTTTATCGCGTCTGTTACATCAACAATAGTTTGAACAAAACAACACGAACGCAACTTTTTCAAACATTACTCATTATATAATACAGACGATTATCAACTTTATTATTTACTAATATGGGTCTGTTTTATAATATAATTATTAACGGCCATAACAGATTGTTTGTCTTTCCTTATCACTCACGGTCCCCGGATATCTTACAATAATATAAAATATATTGATATAGACTATTTAGACTGGAAGACCAAATTTCAGACATTTTTTGCATTAATTATTCCAAAAAAATCTGGAAAATATTAGCAAAATACTAATAAGTTCTGCATAGTATGGGGATTGGGGATCGATATCAAAAAGTTCCTGAAAATTAGGCTCTGTTTCTAAAAAAACTTCCATTATAAGATATTTGAAATTTATGTATGATCTTTCTTGTTATGTACCAAAAATATTCAATAATTGAACACTACATTCATCTTTATTGTATATATTATATTATACATTAACAGTCATAAACACAGTGTCATAGGCCATCATATTAACGTAACTTATCTTTTAAATATTTTAGCTGTAAATACTATTCATAATGAGGCACAAGTGTTCAAGAAATCATTATATGGCCCTACACGATTACAATTTTTTGAAATCATTGAAAATTACTAAACTTTTATATCTGATGAGTCAATAAAATATATGAAGAATATAGTTAATAATTATAGTACTATTTTTTTATATTACAATTAAACTGATTCATGGCATCTATCCTTTAAGATTTATGAAAAATTTGGAACACAGATAATTGATTGATTTTATTAATACTGTGGACAGATTCACTCTAACGGGTCAAGGGTCGCTAGGCATATGCTATAATTAGAGCAATTTAACCTTTAAACTCTATATATAGTAATTATACTATTAAGTCTAATTCCAAATAATGCATAGGCTATATGCACAGAAAGACAGCTACACAATGGAGCCTGGTAACATTTTTATAATATTTGTATTTTATGGTATCAAAAGCTTCTTTATTTAAGTAGTAAAATGTGTTTTTATATTTGTACTTAATCTAGTATGTAAAAGTAAAAAAACGAATTCAACATAAATATTTTAGTCCTTACTTCACAGGAGATAGAGTTTATAATATTAAATATTTATTGCCATTTAAGTGACTTTGGACTATTTATTTACAGAAGAGAAAATTTTTCGATACTATCAGGACTTGAACGTGCAACCATCGAAACTGCTTTCCACTTATTTTACGTCATATTCTAGAAGTTTTAGATTGAAATTCTGCTCATGTTATAAATATTTCATTACTAATTTTCTATTTAAATTTTAATTCTCATTAAATTCCTATTTAAATTTTAATTCTCAAATTAAATTATAGTGACGATCATATATTTATTTCCCAACTACCCTACTCACCAACGTATTTGATCCCCTCAGCCCTCAATCCGTCCACAGCTCGTTGTAACACTTGGTCTTTAACATCAGCCAGTTGTTCGGGTGTGATGAGCGGGCAAGGACAGTATGCCCCCATGCCTCCCGTGTTGGGTCCGGTGTCCCCCTCGCCGATACGCTTGTGATCTTGCGCGGGGGGCATCACAGACACCGTACTTCCATCCGTGAATGCCAACACCTTCAAGTAGTTATGACAATTGAAGGTGATTATAGTCTTATGTTGTGAGATTTGAGATTTTCGCGAGGATTCATTGAAATAAAACTAATATTTTTCCGATTTACTACGTGTTTATAATATTTTATTAAACAAAATGCTGCCGACTGCAAATGTGATCACGGTTGCTGCAAACTTATGCTATGCTAGTTATCCTAGTCGGGAGTATGTAGTTAAAAATAAATATAAACGCGTAGTAAATGCGAAAAATATTAGTTTTACTCTTATGTTTTCTAGAAGATAATTAAAAAAATTTAAATAAATTTGATGGAATCCAAAAAAGTAGTTAAATTTAAACAACCTGGTTGCAGATGACGGAAAAATAACTTTATTTATCTGTTATAATTTCTTTGTTGGTAAGTTTGTTTTCGTAACAAAAAAATATTAGTTTAACAAATCATTATTCATAATGATGCAAATATTCGGTGTTATTGGAATCTAGTATGTGTTGTTGATGTCACATTATTTTAAATAAGCTATTGATTCCTTGAGAATTTAAAGTCTCATTTTCGTTCAATATAAAATGATTTTCGTAAATCATTACACATTATGAAACAACAAAGATATTCATGGGATTGAATAAAATATAAAAATAGTTTATGGTAGAGAAACGTTATCATATGAAAACCGAATTTCAGTCTTAATTTCGTCTAACTGTATTAAATCTTATAATATTATATAAAATTTTATAGTTGTTTATTAATTCAATGACGACACCAAGATAACATGACCCCTTCAATGACCTACCAAATAGTAAATTGCAGTGTAATTTTTCGAGACACGTAAAATTTCTTAGAGATTCCATCTTATTACTATGTACATTACTATCAATAAGAATTCTAATTAAGAATTATCTCACTGGCCCCCAATAAACACTGATTTGTTTGAGTTATCGACCTGACCTTTGATAAGAATTGTGTTTTTCTTTTGTCTTACAAAATATATATGTACACGAGTTACATCATTATTATTAACAGTCACTAAATATATAATACACATTAACTAAGAGACAAAACTTCTTAGCATTTAATGTAGTCACGGTGAGGGTGTCGGGTCCATTATTACACGGAGAGGAGCTTCAACAGTGCCTGGGACTTGCGACCTAGGTGTAGGTTTAAGAGGCCCATATCTAAAGTTAAACCCTCAAATCCACTATCCAAGCTACCTAAAAAAATTTGTTTCTAGGATTTTCTTACCGAAACCTCCTCCCCTTCCAACAGTTCTTCAACCACAACAACCTGGCCGGCCGATCCATACTTGGCTTCAGTTAAGATCTCATCCACCGCTGCACAAGCTTCATCAACATTACTCGCTACCACAACACCTTTACCGGCCGCTAAACCAGATGCCTTCACTACTAACGCTCTAAATGGTGCACTATAACACAATATATATAACTATATATAAAAAATTACTATATTCCATTATTCAGAAATTATTATTTATATCACTAAATATAAATTAGTAAAAAAAAAGTATAGAATAATGGTTTTAAAACTTATTGGAATACAATTTATAACTGATAACCATTTTACAATGATCTCTCAAAATCATAACTTTAGTGGTCATGTGTACCTCCTAATGAATTGCTTAGCAGCCTCAGCATCTGTGAATGATTGGTATCTGGCCGTTGGTATTTGATATTTGTTCATAAACTTCTTGGACCAGTCTTTATTGGCCTCTATCTGTGCACCGGCTTTCGTGGGTCCGAAGCATTTGATGCCGGCTGGTTCGAGGACATCTACAATGCCATTAGCTAAAGGATCTTCGGGTCCGATGATGACGAGATCAATAGACTTGTCTTTGCACCATTTAGCTACACCCTGCAATAATCATGGAAGAAATGCCATAGTTACTTATAAAATGCTTTTAATTCTCAACCTAACAACAAGATTTTTATCACTTAATGTTTTTAGAGCTAGCCGCAGTATTTGTTGCTGTTAGTTATCTTCATAGCAACGTCGTATCACTTGCAGACAATGAGAAAGTTAGGTGCAAAGGTTATCTATAATTAGGTAAATGACTGTTGAAAATATGTAAGATATTAAATATTATATGTACAAGACCTGTGTGAAGGATTTTGTAACAGTTAATGAAAAATGTAAATGAATATAACTTTATTTTATATTTATTAAGTTAATTATGAACTTATGTCCTAGGTAGTCAAACTATGAAGTTAAAATTGCTATGCTTATTATGTTTTATTGCAATTTTAAACACTTATTTCTGGCTGTTGAAATTGTACTTTTGTTTAAATACTGTCCCAATATAAAATTGATAACAACAAGAAAGTTACTTGGAAAATAAGCCAAATAATAAGTAAAAAGGAAAGAATTGAGGATAAAAATAAATATATTACAACAGAAGAGAATAAATATATTCTCTCAATAATAAAAAAAATGCAAAAACTTTTTAGAGATTATATTTTTATAAATATATTTACATCAACATTTAGATGGAAATATGTACTAAACAAAATTAAAACAGAAATTAATAAATACTCGAAAATAACACAACCTCGAAAGAGATTTCAAAATTATATTAAAATGACATACCTATTATTGAAATGAAAAAAATTAAATACCTAATGACTTAATTAAAATGCAGTTATAGTTGGAGTATTCGGTTTATTAAAAATATATATATTGCTACATGATTCTTATGAGTAACTTACCGGAAAATCTTTAATATTCAAATCCACACTTTCAACATTTTCCTTCGTCGCTGATATACCGACACTACCGGGCGCACAGAATATTTTACAAATTAATGGAGAATCTGCTAGTTTCCAACAAATTGCATGTTCCCTGCCTCCACCACCGATTACGAGCACGTTTGCAGACATAGCTTTAATAAATTATAATAAAATAAAACTACAAACTTGTTTACCAAGTTTGTGCCGCGTGTAAAAAGTTAAACTTACTTTGAAAGTTACTATAATTTTAGTTATTATTTTTGAAAAGGTTATTGCATTTTACTATAAACTTAAAAAATAATAATCTAAATGTATTTTATATAAATGTTTTGTAACTAAAACACAACCATTCATAACACGCGTAAACTTTAAAATGACGTTTTCGTTTGACGTTATTTACAATTTAGACGATAGCCATATCTCAGGTTTTTTGGTTTATCGATACTTAATTTTAATTTGATTTTCTTCATAATTTAAATGTTATGTGTTTTCTAAGTTGGTCTTTTAGCTTTATACATATATGACCAATGTGTACTATCATTATAGATATTTCTAAGTAAAACCCTTATTCTATAAAATGCGAAATATAAACTTTTTTGTATTTAATAATTTTTCCTTTGTGAATACTGAACTGCTCTACAAAAATTTTGAATTTAAGAGTCAAGACATTTTTATGAAAAGGAAAATAAAAAGAAGAATTAAAATTATCTCCTCCAGAGAAAACTAATCATTGGGATAATTTAATACGACAGCTATTTATGCTATTAAATAAACAGTGGCTTCAGTATTATACACTTCCCTTTCCACGTATAAACATATGGAAGGACTGTAAAGTACTATGAAGAACGATATTTTTTATTTTTTTATATTTGATAGTTTTCTTTTGTTTTATATAATTGCAGAATTATTATTAAAAATGTTTAACAAAACATATACCTAAGAGAATATTCGAACAGAAACTGGCTTAGCAATTTACTTTTTATTAATAAAGACATCATATTTTATACTATTTTTAATCGAATAAAAATGACATAAATAAGATATGTTAAAAATAATAATAATAAATATAAACATAAAAAATGGAAAATAATTGTAATCAAAATATTCGATATTATTGGAGTACATCACTATACGTACAATACGAAATCTTAGCAATATTTGTATCAGATGTGAATAACAACTATTATATTGTTAGTTCGAACTGATAAGAGGTCAATCTCGAAGATATGTTCTACACTGATGAAATACATGACTATACGAATTTATTTATATATTAGTAGGTACTGCTTGTAGTACAAGAAAATTAGTAAGAATCTACATAATTTCTAAATAAAAGGTAACGTTTTAATACCTACAAAAAATAACAGGAAAAAGGAGTTTAATTTTTTTTACATTTTTAACATTATCTAATAATACCAAATGAATCGTCAAGCTTTACCACAAGCGACACCATTAGAATTAATTGTAGACGATTCAAATACATAAGTCAGCAATGAGATTTTTTAAGGCGATTAAGTTGTTTACGTTGATATTGTTAAGTCGTATTAAAGATACTGGTAAACCCCAAAGACCATACACGCTCAACGCTGAATCTTTAAGGACTTATTAATTTACTCAGAGAACTTCAAACTGTAACGATTTGAGTCATAGAGAAATTTGGAGGATTGCGAGCAATTCGAGAAAGTTCCTTAATAAACTTTTTTAATGATGACAACAGAAAGAAGCGTTAAGCCAAAAAGATAGGTCAAAGGATAAGTAATGTGGTTTGATACCACATCAATAATAGGCTCGAGTTCGTTCTATATGACATGGTCCTCAAAGTTGGGAACGAGACTTTATCCTTGAAGCATTAAATTATTTATTTAAGTTTTGTATTGATATGTTAAATACGTAGCTAAGCAGATAAAAATACATAACTATATAATTTATACATAAAGTTTGAAATAAGTATATATTTATAAAACAATCATTAGTAAATAAGTATATATTCAAACATATGAAACTTTACTTTCAAGTGCAAAGCTTAACAACAGGTCTTTAAAAAATATGATAATATATGACAAACAAATAAATAATAAGAGAGAAGTTGTTAGAATTACATAATTGTTAAAGAAAATGTCTGTATGTAAGCATTTGTATATAGCACTTAATGGAACGTATTGTAAAGATGGCGACTTAATTCGTCCGTTTCTGTCACTTTGCTGTGAAGTGTGATGGTGATGCTAGTAAGTTGTGTAAAAAAATATTTGTATATGTTGGTATAAAATGGCTGACACCGGTTTACGTATGAATTTAACAGCATTAAAGAGGGCAGACCCATATGCGAGAGAAATAATTGACAGTGCTACCCACGTCGCACTTTATACTTTTGAAGAAAACGAATGGGAGAAAACGAACATCGAAGGGGCTTTGTTTGTGTACAGTAGAAATGGGGAACCTTACCATAGTTTGGTGATTATGAACAGATTAAATACAAACAATCTTATTGAACCTGTTTCTAGAGGAATTGAATTGCAATTAAAAGAACCATTTTTATTGTATCGAAACGCGAAGTGTCGTATTTACGGCATATGGTTTTACGATAAAGACGAATGCATCAGAGTTGCGACGAAATTGAACTCTTTAGTGAAGGATTCTATAAAAGGCCCTAACGAAATGTCTCAAAATCCTGCATATTCAGCTCCGGCGAAGACTAACGCGTCAGTTGATATATTTAGCATGTTGAGCAAAGCTCAAGATGATTTTAATACTAATAAGGGATTGACAAATAATAAAAATGACTTAACACCGACGAGAGCGCCAGATATGGCTTCACAGAGTGTGATGGATTTCTTCGCCAAGGCTGGCAGTGGTGCGGCAGCGCAAATGCCTGCTGTATCCTCTCTTCCATCTCCGGGGATGTTTGGACCGCGGCCAAACGATGTACGAGAGACGCCATTACTTCTACAAAGACTGATGAGTAATCCAGCCCATTCTGTTGAGCATATAGAAAAGCAGCAGAGATCTGTTACACCTCAAGAAGCCCAATCTTCAAATGGGAATGTCTCCATAGATCCAATGATGAGACAGAACAGTTCTTTCCAACTCAAGTCTACGCCACTAGACAAGCACAGCCAGCACAGGATAACTAATCTTCAGAAAATCCAATTAGACGGTGACACCAACGGGCCTAATCCTTTGGAGAATGAACTGAATCTAATGCATATCTCTTCCCCCAAGCCTACATCCCCATTAGCTACGTACTTGAACCACACTCAAGATATTGGACACCAGGTGGGATCCTATAACGGTGGTAAGTTGGAGGAGGTTGGAGGTGTGTTCCCCATCATGAACTCCCTGACAAATCAACAGAAACCAGCCCTGATGCCACCGACGATGTTCACAGCTATACCCGGGAATGACATTCAGCCATCCCCAGAACCTCTCACGAGGAATCAACTATTACAGGCTGTTAATTATCTCCTAAGACATGATGCTGACTTTGTCAACAAACTGCATGAAGCTTATGTGAAATCATTTTCAGAAAAGCCTTTTTCTGTTTCATAATATGTTGTTTTGGAACAAGCCGCTGATCGCCAGTGGTACTGTACAGCTGTAATTTGAAGAATAAATCCTTAAAAATGTTGAGTAGACCCATTAGTGATGCAGTAACTTATTCGGACCGAGTATTGTGAAATAAGTTTTAAACCTTAGACAGTGTCAGTTAAATGTATAGAGAAAGAATTCTAGTGACACAATTTTGGTCACATTATGTAATAACAAAAGCCGTTTGTGATAAACCTATTGGCTTAGTTTTTGTTGGCCCTGTTGAGTTAATCATCAAGGGATTTTCTAATATGAAATGTTATTAAATGATTTTGAATATAATTTGAAATATTAACATCAGATACAAATAACACTATATTGTATTTGTTAAAAAATGTTAAAATAATTTAATGTTGTCTACAAATACTTTATAACTTTATACAATGCTATGACTGTCTGGGCTATTATTAAAATCCTGAGTAATTGGAATCAATATTGAAGTGGCTTGTGGCGATAACGGAGACTTGAGGAACATTACTAAGCCATTAAGCCATAATGCAAATACATTTTTGAAAAAAAAAATGTTATTGACTTATAAGGACATAATTTTGACATATGTTGTTATTAAGGACTGCAAGTTTTTGCTACTTGTTTACAAAAATCTTAATTTTTAACTTCTATTGCTTCATTCTATCACTTGCCGGGAACGAAATTTTGTTTTTTTTTTATAAATCAAAAGACCATTATAGCTTTGTTATATCCAAAATTATCACTCAATATATTTATAAATCTATTTTTTCTTTGTTGTAACTTAAATGTTACATCACATACTTTACATTCAAATATAATTTGCTTCAATTTTGTGTGTAACCGTTTCTTTATTTTAAAGGAAATTTTGTCGTAAAATGTCTACTTAAAAAATAATCCAAGTAAGAAAAAATTATAATATGGAGCAGAAACAAAAAAATGCACAGTATCCTATTGAGTTTTAGTGTTAGTGAGGTGCAAAATGTAAATGACGGATTTATTTTAGTGTATAAATGTGAAATTATCCAGTGATTTTATGTTGGTATATATATGGGTCTATAATACTTGTTAAAACATATTCTGCTCCCGATATATAATCTTGAACCTTGTAAAGCCTGAACATTATAATTTCGAAGAAATAAAAATCAATAGTCTGTAATAAAAATGTTTCTTGATGAATTTAATTTTTTATTTACGAGCCTGCATACCTACTTATAGTTTTTAAATTGAAATTAAATAAATATAAATTAAAGTCTTATGTTAGTGTTTACAATTAGTATGAATTAGTTGTCATTGCTTGATTTCCTTATACTAATAAGAAGTTCCTTTATTTCTTTCATATACTATTTCTTTTAAGAAAGATATCTTGCAGTCAGGGTGAGTTGTTCCGTTAGTGTTGAAAATGATTTATCAGCATATTGTTTGAATCGATTTAATATCTCTATTACAAATCGCTTTTGAACTTTGAACAACCAGTCAAGATTACAAAATTGTTTTACAATTTCTTTTCAATATTCATGAGATGATACACATAGTACATCTCAAATTGTCTACTTAAAAGTACATCAATTATATGAAGGCATTCACAAATATTTTATTTGTACCTAAAACATAAAATTTTGACTGCTCTATAAGGTCATCATCGAAGATCGCTAATATTGAATCAAAATAAAATATACAAAAAAGTAAATCATTAAAAACATTAATGAATGCCTTTCAATATCTCGTTAAAAAAAACGGACAGTTAAATCTTTAGTTATTCCATGGTATCATTGTAACACAAATTATTATGTAAAAATCTACATATTGTGCTCTAATAAAAGAAATGTATGACATCAATGACAACTTTGGTCGAACACTAGTATGAGAGGTGTTACACAGTCTGTTTGTGTTATAGAATAATTATAAAACAGGAAAAAAACATATTTAATCTCACTTCGTAAATAAAAAACACCCTGTGAACATCCACAGCTGAACCTTTGATATGCTAATGAAACTATATTTACAAAATCATTCACACTTAGTATTTAACCAGTTCCTAAGCTCTTAAAGCCATCGGCCATAAGACATTGTACCTTATTGTAAATCTTTATATATAATAGACGTTCACTGAAATTTGTATGAAGGTAGAAATAACTAACATTATGTTTCTAACTAAATACAGTACATAATAATTCACAATTTAATTTGTTTCAAATCTCTTTAGTATGATCCAATGATTGATATCACTAATTAATCTAAAATTTCATTGTTTGTCATGGTTTTGCTGAATCTTTTTTCAAATTTTTATACTTTTCATTCCATATAGTTTTTTTTTAAATTTAAGAGATTTGAATCAAGTTATACTCCATAGTCCTTATTACATTGTCATAGAGTCGGAAATGAAATGAATTTAGTACAGCCGCACAGTGGGGTCGGACACATCATACAAGTAACAGGCGTTATAAACATCTAAAAGTTTACTAACAACGCTATCCAACATTGCAATACAAAATCTGTACACACTTAACCTGCCTTAGATTACAATATACCCTAAAGCCCATATAAATAAGATTTAAAATTGCTTATTCCATGAATACAATCTATTTCAAATCAGATTCATTTATTGTGATACAACTGTTTTTAACTTTTAATATCCTTATATTTTTAGGACTAGTTCGCGTTAAATGCGCATTATTTGTAATTCATCCAAATAACTATCAAATACACTAACAATTAGCTCGGTTACTTGACAATCATGTTTCTGAATACAGGGTGTTTAAAAATCATAGATTTGAAACAGAGTACAGTGGTATTCATTAAAAACAAATTGCAATCAAAAAGCAACGTCAAACAGCGCGATTAGTAAACAGAATAGTTCGTGTTTGGTTGTTTGTACATCTTTACATAGTATACATAACACTATTGTCATATGCTAGCGTCACACCGGTTGGATTCAGTTGACTAGTCCAAATGTTTGACAATTTGAAGTATGGTTTTTCATATTATACATGATATGGTTACCAGTGTGACGCTACACTAGCGATTCACAGCGCTGCCTTAATGATTACTTAATCTATTGAATAAAATATACTAGATAAATTAAACAAAATCATGTTTATTGAAAAACATAGTTATTTCATATATATGGTTTAAGTCACATGTTTTATTTTTACTCTCTTCATAACTCCATCTTCTGGTTATATTTAATGGCTTTATCTTTCGGTGGCTACTTAATTTTCATTAGTATAAATAAAATATTTCACATATTGAGTATGTATCAAATGTTATCAAAAAATCTTTTTATTTTTAGAAATTCAAGATATCACTCAACCATTTGTAAAATACGAATTGGAAGATAATTCAATACTTTGGTGGTAAATTATATTTCCAAAACCAAAAAAACCTCTCAAAAAACACTATAACTTTAGAATTACTTTACCATTTTTATAACTAAATCTGTTCTCGCGATACAAAATAAAAAATCAGAATATCTTAAAATCGAATCGCTTAAACAATTTAAAATCATTTATTATATGTACAGGGAGAACAGATTATATTAAATACATCTAATTAACTAGATCTTCATAGAAAACTGTCAATCTGAGGGATGATAGTCAGTAGTGGCAACATAACCGCTATATATAGGGTGTTTCAGAAACGACCCGGAGTCCTACAGACGTAGGTCACTTAATCATACACTGGCTATGTTTATGACACTAATCACATGTTTATTTTAAAAACAAAACTTAATAAAACATTATTTAACTATAATTATATCTATATTTATAGAAAGCGCTGGAGGATCTAACGACTGGAAAAATAATAAATAGGATCCGAAAGCGCCGCGGCCCCTTCAATTTGTACATAAGCCGATATTTTATCTGTGGACAAGAAAATATATATATAAATTGGTTTTTCTATATTGCAAACTTTTATACAGATTTCACATTATCATATTATAGAGATTTATTAATTATGTTATACTTATAAAATGTTATTAGTCAAAACTTTGATTGAACTTTTTATTTTTATTCATATGTACATACTTAGTCTGGAAACATATAATGTTAATATCTGTAACTTAATGAATATTTTTTTTATTGAAGATACAGCTTATACTTCAAACAGTATATAATTCTTTAACTTTTGTCAAATCCTGTATTATTTATACTCAGTAACATCTTCAATCAGTATCTAATGTACTATATACTTAAGCACTATAAAGAAAATCAGTTTTAGACGATAAGTAAAGTTTCTGTATAGATCGATTATATAGATACTTAAATACTATAGTCTATAATTTAGACTATGAGTTTTATGAGGTAGGTATATCTTCTATAATGTATATACATATATGATGAATGTACCTTCTTTCGCTACCACAGTCGGTGTAGGTGCAGGTTCCTGGACAGCACGGAGCGCACGTCGTGTGTGAACCGCAGCGCGTCCAACACGGGCAGCAGGTTCAACAGGGCCACGTCCAGGGGGTCCGAGAACCACGACTTGATTGGGATGGCGTTGTCTGGAACATATACACATATATATTAATAATGAGCAGTCATCATCATCATCATCAGCCTATCAGACGCCCACTGCTGAGCAAAGGCCTCTTTCTCACATGGAGAAGGTTTAAGCATTAATCACCACGCTTGCTCAAGACGGGTTGGTGATTTCAAACTTATAATTGTGAAACTATAAGTCCAGGTTTCCTCACGATGTTTTCCTTCACCATATAATGAGCATTATACTATGGTAATGAGATCTAAGACTTTACCAAGCGTTTTTTATTATTTTAATTGCATACTAGCGACGTTTCGGTGACTGCCGCAACCGTGATCACGAACAGACGATACGATCACGGTTACTAGAAAATTTGTGATTGTGTCTTGTCATACATTGGACAGAAAAAGAGGAGCATCGGTACAAGGGTAAAGGTACATTTTGTGTCAGAAATCAAAAATAGATGCGCGAAGTCAGCAGTGGGTAAACATGAATTTGACAAACCAGGCCTAATGGCTATACTATAATGTAATCATTAGATTTGATAAACTACATATCCTCGCTCGTGAAGACAGATATATACCGAGGTTAATCTGCGACGCTATTGAAACTAAAAAAAAACAATTTCAATAGAGAAGATGGCTGACATCACTTATATACAATTTTATTTCCACGATCACACTGCAAGACCTCGAGACACAGCGCATTTTCAATCTCAAATTAAAAAATTGCTGTTAAAGGATCCGAAACCTCGTAAAAAATATCATATCGGATCGTCATGTAGTATATCCGAAAATAATAGTTTAAATTATAAGAAAATTACATAATATGTTACCAAATTCGGATCAGAAAAATTCATTGAATATTACTAAGTGAAGAAAGCGGAACGCTATACTCAAGTCAATCATTCACGGAGATGATTTCGACAACCGAATTTACGATCATGACGAGGTGTTTTTTGTTCGATAGAAAGTTTTAAGGCGGTATTTATTTAAAAAAAAATTGATTGGGCCACCAATTTCAAATTTAGGGACGGCAAACGGAACCCATGTCCAAAAAACATGTTCGGTACAAAAAGACTGAGATCGCTTCACGCAATTCGTACCAAGAGCAAAAAAAGGTGCAGCTCCTAGTTATAGATCATGTAGTACTATCATGTAATACTATATAAACATTTATTAAAGGAAAACCGGAAACTATATGTAGTATGTTTCACACTAATTAGCTTATACTGTAAGTATAACGATCATAACGTGTCTGCAACCATTAATCAATTAATATAAGTAATAATAATATTTCCATACAAATCAATTGAAGTTTTACGTCATATATTACAGTAATATTTTCCTTAAATTATAATATGTATATCAATCAGTGGTGCTATATACAGGGTGTGTTTTCTAATCATGTACCTGGGAAGTCCCGGTACGCGCCGGGTGAGTTGTCTAATATGAACACTCTGTTGAGATCTTCACATATAGATGACAGGTTCTTAGTATATGAGCCGTGTTCCTGGGTACAGTGCTGTCTGAAACAGAGATATATGATTTTAAATGGATATTAAAACAATCACAATAGATAATAGATTTTTGTTTTGTTTTAAAATAGGCTACATTCATTGGATTAAAGTTATTTTTAATCTGTGACTCTATCTAAAAAGGTTTTATGAATTTTGTTATATAATCTGTGTCTTATAAAGTTGAATCAAATGCATGAACTTTGTGATTTTGTCCCAAATCAAATGCAGCATCTTTTTATATTCTCTCAATAATGTATAATATTACGAATAATATTAATTTTCATATTTTTTATTATAACACAACACTGTCTAACATTTGAGATAAACATTTGTTCTTCTATAATTGTATATATTTAACAGTTGCATTAACCAAAATCCATACTCGACAGCCTAGTTAGCAAAGAAATTGAAACTCAATATTCCAAAGGTTGTAAGTTCAATCCATTCATCAATATATATCATATTACACATTATTATATATATACACATTTAATCCAATATTTCCTAAATGAATTTAAATTCTAATTATCCTGATAGTGTTCTCATCAATGAATATAAATAGTATCATAATAAAATGTATGTATATAACAATATTACATCTCACTACCTATAGAACCTCCTTCTTAGTATTCCTCGTCCGTTGTCAAGTTTGTCAGCCACGGCTGCTCCATATATTTCCATAGAAGCGGTGAACACTACCAACTCATACCACTGGGACACCTGGAATGTGAAACTTATATTAATGTACCACAATTAACATTATATTATTTATATTAATAGTCTTATTAAATAATTAAAGTGTCAGTTATAGAGTTTAGAACATAAAATGATAGTGATTTAAACAATACAGTTTCAATGAACATATTATGAGGAAAAGTGACTATCTTTCTCATTGTCATAATAATAATATAAACAAATAAATGAGATTATAATGTCCTTTTGAAATAACAATTCTATGTGACTGGAATATGAATCAAAACACTTTTAAATATTTTAGTTTGTCCGTCTATTTGTTTGTTCTGATCTTTGGGATTGCTAGACCAATTTTAACGTGACTTTCATTGATAGATGGCTCAAGTAATATTGGGCAGTCAGTTTTTAATAAAATATCAATTAGAGAGACGAAACCTCTCAGCATTCCACGTATTCACCGTGCGGGTGTCAGTTACATCGCGTTGCAGGGAGAGGAGTTTCAAGAGTGTCTGGGACTTTTTATACAGGAGTATGTTTAAGGGACCTCCATCTAAACGCTCACCTCCAACGTCCAAGCAAATTTGAAACGAACTTACCAGGGCTGCCTTCGAAGTACACTCTAAGAATGCATTAATGTTAGTTTTGGACAGGCCCAAGTCTTTAAGTAGGTTGTATAGACATTTAGTTGTTACACCTCTCAGTTCCACTTCTACCGCAAACATATTTACGACGAACCTATTCTTAGCGAGTTCTTTAGTGAGCTCGTGATACTTGTTGAATTCATTTTGGAATCCTTATTGTAAATATATCCTCAGTTTTTAATACAGACACATTGAATGTAAGAAAACTAAAAGCCTATATGTTTAATTTGGTGGTAGAATTATGTGGCTCTCCTTGAATTATTTCCTAGTTTAAATGACCAATCAAAACTATATACGTTATCCATCTGTCTTGCAATACCGTATATGGAAACGAAACTATCACAAAAAGCAAAAATGTTCATTTAAAATGTTCACTTTTAGTCTTTTACTTTAGTTTAACTTTTAAAGTAATTCACAAACAAACAGACATACACGAAAATATTCGGCAATCATATAAATATACAAATTTGATTAGGTAGGGAGAGGAGTTTGGATAGTGGAGGTGAGCGTTTAATGCGCGTTAGATAGGGGCCCCTTAAACCTACACCTGGGTTGCAAGTCCCAGGCACTGTTGAAGCTCCTCTCCCTGCTATGATGGACCCGGTACCAAAACGGCGAATACATTAAATGCTGAGAGGTTTCATCGATCAACATTTTGTACAACAAACAATAGTTACTTATAAGATACTCACCACATCTAGGAAGTAGTCAACATGGGGTCGTTTATGTACAAAGAATCTGACGGGGTGTTTGTCTATAGTGACCTTAAGAACAAAGTCCGGAGGGGTCCCCGGCTTCACTGTAGGTCGTAGCATGGCGTCGTGATGAGAATGAATCAACGTCTCGTCTAGATCTAACACCAACATCTTCCTTTTAACTAAACCTGAGGAAAAAACATTAGTTACTTATATATAGATTAACTTGATATGTACTTATATAATTTCCCAGCTTTAGCCAGGGTCTGCCTATGCCTATATACAGCTATTTTATATTTTTGACAATTTTAATTGCTTTAAGTATGTTACATATGTATACTTATATATACCATCGACAGACAAATTCTTAAAATATAAAAATGTTAACATTTTTTTATAAATGTAGAACTATCATAAAGGTCACAGACAAAAATATTTTGCTTAATCATTGTTAAAGCTTGATTTATAAAAGATATGAGCAAAGAAAGTCTTTCTTAAATATAAATTACACAAAAAAATATACATTTTAGAGTAATATATTATTATTAATATATATTGAAATCCATGACAAGATAAGATAACACAAATCTTATTTATATCTCATTGATATGATTTTTATCACAACGAAATGTAAAATTACAAAAAAATATATTGATTGATGTACCCAGTAATTCTTAGCAGCCAGTAATAATATGTAAAAAATAATAAAGCTCATAATAAGTTACATATGTATGAAAACCTCTTTTGTTTAACTTAGTAAAATTATCTATGATTTTATTCTGTATTTCTATTACAATATAATCCTTTTTGGTGATAATTATGGCAGAATCTATTTGTGCTGCAGCATACTGTGGTCATTTAATGCTATTTCATTGTTTGTTTTGAATTGTGTTAAAAGTTAGTTGATATTACAATTCCTATACATACAAAAATCTATTAAAAACAGTAATCAGGCCAGGGACCTAAACCATACTATAAGAAACATAATTGCAAATTAAACATAGTATAAACCATAGCAGCAGTATGTGATATTAGAAATAAGAATTGAACTATAAGGAGTAGCTTTTATATTGTTTCTACTCATTTCAATAAATATACATATCATATATACATATATGTTTTTATATGCTATGGCTTCATTCATACTGGATTCGTGGAATATTTTGAAAATGTGTTTTTATTTGATGGATGAATTAGATATTGAGTACTGTGTAGAGGATGTGTGGATCATGTAGTATGATGTGATATTATAATTTCTTGTTAAGAATGATAGAAAAAAATATTTATTTGTTTATAACAAAGTTAAAGTTGTGTGTACAAGTTTTTTTTTTTATTTAATACAAAAAAGCAACAGCATTATGATACAGTGTGTATGTGTTTTTTTTAATAAAGAAAATATTTGTAGGAAAATATATGAGATTTTAATTAATAAATTTTGAATAAAGAATATTATAATCAATATACTGAGGGCTAAACATAAACATATGTCAAAGTAAATATCATACAAAATAATTAAGTAATAATAAGTTAGTAGAAGGAACTATATCATTATATAGCCAACTATAATTTAAATTTCCAATAAGACAGATGCTCACTGTTCATATGGTGTGAATGTTAGATTCTAATAAATTTGGTGGCCATGTGGCGCGATACACACATAAATAATACCATTTTCCAAAGAATTATTACTTGTTTATGTGAGCACATAAGATAATTCTAAAAATAGACAGGACTTGTGGTATGTTATATGGAAGATATAAGTTTCTTGTGTTTAATAAGTTGTACTAAGGACAAGTATAGCTATGCTTCAATAAAATAGATATATAACTTACTCAGCCTGTGTCGAGATACTGGAGAAAGAGGATATATTTCATATTTGACAGATTGATATTGAGCCAACTGAAAATCAAACACCTCATGAGACACATTTCTATTGAACACATAATTTCACAGAATGCATCTACCAAAGTTTATATTTACCGCTCGATATTGCTTTCTAAACATGTAACAAAAACAACTCCATACTTTGGAAGCTATTAGCATGAACGCGCGAAGGCCCATTTGCAATTGTTTCAGCATTTGAAATGTTTACGAGATAGTTACAAGTATATGGATACCGTGAGTGTTAAACAACAAACGAACAAACGGGACCATTGACGACGTAATTCAAAACAAATTCAACGAAACCAAGTGCCGAAAACATCTAACCCGCCATGACATAATCGACCCAAATCTCACACCATTGACAAAATAGCACTTTCCTTTCATTTTGCCTTTGGTTTTAGTGACGTTCCACAATATACCAAAGTTTGGTTGTGTCTACGGTTTTCATAACTTACATATTTTTTTATAAAACATTTAAGTAAAAAGATATCTTTTCAGACAGTGTTATATATTATTCTTTATTTTCATGATTATAATAAAATGAAGAATTTCAAAAAATACAAATATTTTAGATTATCTTTAAATACAGATAATAGCTATTGTTAGTAATTTACAGTGGCTTTTCATTGCAGCCCATTGCCCATCGGTCGAACTATTGACGTTTCATTTTGGGGGCGGGTATCATCTACAATTTTTCAATATTTTCCGATATCGCTCTAAAATGAGTTTAAAGGGTCGGCTTTCATGGTGAAGAAATAAATATTCTGATAGATGTCCCTACCAATCATTACGTGAGTAACTTTCAATCTTCTATTGCTACTTATTTTATTGGCCATATCCTGTTTTATCGATTAACAATCCACTTAATCATCTTTAGACAGATTTTATAACATCTAGTACGATGTAAAGACGTCTTGATAGTTAATAATTTATATGTTCATGCTATATATAGTTAAAAATCATTATAAATTAACAATTATTTTGCTTTCCGTATTCAGGTAATTTCTCGTCAAGATGATTGGGGGTCTGTTCGTGTACAACCACAAGGGGGAGGTGTTGATATCTCGGGTGTATCGTGATGATATCGGTCGTAATGCCGTGGACGCGTTCAGGGTGAACGTGATCCACGCTCGTCAGCAGGTCCGCTCGCCCGTCACAAACATCGCTAGGACCTCATTTTTTCATATTAAGGTAAGAAAAAAGATTATATACATCATCATGAAAAACATCCTTAGTAGAGTGTACTATATTTATAATATAGTATTGTAAATATGCCAGAGTTATTGAAAGATATTACTTTATTTTCATATATATATTTATCATCACATACATAATACTGTAAACTTAAGTATGTACATGTATAGTTGTATAATCACAATGAGGGTAGTTCAACGTTTTTGTAATAACATTATCAATAAAATATTATTATAGAATTTGTTCTGTAAATTACTTTGGCAAAGCATTTTCTTAATGTTGGCACCAAACAACTTGCCAAATGTAATGTGTTATGATGTTAGTTGAATATTGCCGCCTATATACTGCTGTCTATATTTGAGTCTCACTACAAATAACATACACTATCTTTGATGATTATCATCACACATAATCAAGTACAACATGAATACATGACCCGGCACCCGCACAGTGAATCCATTGAATGCTAAGAGGTTTTGTCTCATTCTTACTTCTTCTTCTATCTTGCAATTTCCCAGCTTTAGCTTTAGCCAGGGTCTGCCTTACATGTTGTTAATAGTTTTGGCGAATTGTTTTTACAACCAACCGCCTGCCTGACATCAACCCTCTTTGAAAATGCATTAATCAGTGAATTGTGTCATACTTATTATTACATTATATTGTTTTTATGTTCTCTCAACATTATACTACATTTAATAGAAGTTCAGAATAGTGAAAAATTTAACTAAAAATATTAATTTCCATAGAGAGCTAACATTTGGCTAGCGGCCGTCACAAAGCAGAATGTCAATGCCGCCATGGTGTTTGAATTCCTGTTGAAGATCATAGATGTGATGCAGTCATACTTCGGAAAGATATCCGAAGAAAACATCAAGAATAACTTTGTTCTCATCTATGAATTGCTCGATGGTGAGAAAATATACCTTATTATTATATACAATTGGATTGATTTTGCTATTTTGATGTTCTTAAACAAATGGTTAAAATTAACTCAATATAATTTTATGTCAACCTCCAATCTTGTCTCATTAAATATTGAATAATTTTTTTTTAAGTATATTATTGTTGTTGTTACAATTAAATAAGTATTTTTCTTAAGAATTTGTTGGCAATAGCAATAAAGTCAAAAATACATTCTTATAAGATTTTTTGTTAAAATATTACCCTTTTGTATTATACTTTAAATTCTTCAAACAAAAGTTCACACATTATAAAAAGTTTCATAAAAATATTTTATTAATATATATGATGTATTATGTATTGTAGAAATCCTGGACTTTGGTTACCCTCAAAATTCTGATACCGGAGTCTTGAAGACTTTCATCACACAGCAAGGAATCAAGTCAGCTACCAAGGAAGAACAAGCACTCATTACATCACAGGTATGGTTTATTTAATAATTATGAATATCTATTAGTTATAAGTTTGAAGAAATTCAGGCATAAAGGATCCCACACCCAAATAGTGAATCCATTGAATGCGGAGAGGTTTTGTCTCTCTTATGTGTAAAAATTAACTTCAGTTATGCTAAATGCATTTATAAGGTATTCCATTTATAGTTGTAAGATTAAGTATGCTTTATTACTAACTTAAGACATTTTTTTTCTTTTACTAAAGACTCTAATGTATTTAATTCTTTTAATTGGTAGTTCAGATTATCTATTATGCTCATGAATAATTATTTTTTTTTTTACCTTTCATTCTTTATTTCTTATCTCTATCACTCCTATTTGGTTGTATACTGACTCTTATAATCTATATAATGTCTTATTCTACTTTATCTCTATATGTATATTTAATATTTATATATGGCATATAATCAAAATGTGTGTTTTCTTTTGTAAGGTGACTGGTCAGATCGGTTGGCGTCGTGAAGGCATCAAGTATCGACGTAACGAGTTGTTCCTAGATGTACTTGAATATGTCAACTTATTGATGTCACCGCAAGGTATGTGTTCCTGGTACATTGAAAATTTTCAAGTGTTTATTTAAATGTGTGAAATTCTTTTAGTATATTAATAAAGAACTTAGAGTAATGAAAGAATTTTTAGGACACATAAGGATGTGTGAATTAATAAGGATTAAAGATATACCAACAACAAAAATCCTAAACAATATATTGAGACTTATCTATCAATTAAAATAATTCTACAATTCTGATTCTAATATTAATAGTTACTTAATTTTTCATTCCAGGTCAAGTTTTATCAGCTCATGTGGCCGGTAAGGTGGTGATGAAGTCTTACCTGTCAGGAATGCCGGAGTGCAAGTTTGGCATTAATGATAAAATTGTCATGGAAGCTAAGGGCAAAGGAAATGGTAAGCTCAATTTATTATGGTTAGAGTATTAAATAGTTATATGTATAGTAATATTAGAATTTCAAGAGATACATTTCAGTTAAAATCTCTCTACATAACTTCATAAATAGATTCTTGTAAGACATAAATAATATAGTTATTTAAGGAATTTACCAAAAATATTATACATATATGTATATGTCAAAACAATTGAGAACTTCTTATCTTTAAAAGAAAGGCGTGTTAGTTACAACTCAAGTTATTTATAACTCAAGAACGACTGTACGGATTTGGCTGAAAAAAAAAAAATAAAATAAGTTGATCAAATCCAAAGTCTTCTAAATTACCGCCTTTGGGGAGGAATAGCGTTCGTCCGGTCAGCTAAAAATGTATTATTTTAAAACGAACGCAGACGAAAACTAGTTATTAATAAATGCGATGAATATTTCAGGCGGTATCTCCGGCAATACAGACAGTGACCCAGCTCGCTCTGGCAAACCTGTAGTTGTCATTGATGACTGTCAGTTCCACCAGTGTGTGAAGCTGAGCAAGTTTGAGACGGAACACTCTATTTCGTTCATACCGCCCGATGGAGAGTTTGAACTTATGAGGTATTATAACAATTTGTTGGATATCGTTGGGGATAGTGCAAATCCGGGTAACTAGCATTGTATAATTCCGCGTATCTACATTGGAAGCAGATTATCAGAAGAAAATTTAAGCCGAAATATTTTCTATACTAACGACTTCTAAGATACTTTTTACACAATTAATAATAAATTGAACACTAAATAATTATCCAGTGGTAGCTACGCGGATTTGCACTATCCCCAAAGATATAATATTATTATAGATTGTATGTTTATAATTATATGTTATCATTAAAGACTTTATGGTCAAAATATATTTGGAAAGTTTCCAGTTAACTATCCATAAATCTTTGTTGTTAGTTGTTAGTATCATGTGCCAAGACTTTGAATAAAAAGTTAATAACTCTTAGTTACCAAACTCGTACTAAGGTTATAGCTCAGATCTTCAATATATAGATACCAAAAACATTTCTTCATCTCAGATATCGTACAACAAAGGATATATCTCTGCCGTTCCGTGTGATTCCTTTGGTACGTGAAGTTGGTCGCACCAAGATGGAAGTGAAGGTTGTTCTGAAGTCTAACTTCAAACCATCTTTATTGGGACAGAAAATTGAAGTGAAGATCCCAACACCGCTCAACACTAGCGGGGTGCAGCTGATCTGTCTGAAAGGAAAGGCCAAGTACAAGCCATCGGAGAATGCTATTGTGTGGAAGTGAGTGATCATAATTATTAAATTATATTTTCAGTTTTATAAAAGTACATATCGTCGGGGATAGTGCAAAATCGCGTAACTAGCATTGGATAATTCTGAGTATTACATTGGAAGCAGATTATCAGAAGAAAGTTTAAGTTGAAATATTTTCTATATTAAGGACTTTTAAGGTAATTTTTTCACAGTCATTTATAAATTAAACATTAAATAATTACTAATTGTGAAAAAAATATCTTAAAAGTTGTTAATTTAAACAATATTTCAGCTTAAACATTCCTCTTTCAATCTGCTTCTAATGTAGGTACGCGACATTATCCAATGATTGTTACGCGGTTTTACACTATACCGGACGATATATTGTTTGAATTGCTTATAAATTTAATTCTGCCTTATAACAACTAGTTCTAAATATAAATATATAAATTATACATGGTTAACACAAAATGGTCCTTTATATAAAATATTTATGGTAATATTAGTTTTATCTTGATTATCAAATATTACTTCATAAAGAATTGCTTAATTTTTTTAGAGGTCTTCAACATTTATCTGCAGACCATACAAGTATATCACTGTTAATTCAATAATACAATACATTATTATCTAAATAACTCCAAATATTATAAATACGAAAGTAACTCTGTTGTCTGTCTGTTACGCTTTCACGCCTAATATACTGAACTGATTTGAATGAAATTTGGTACAAAGATAGAGTTGACCTTGAGAAAGAACATAGGATAGTTTTTATCCCAGACATTTGAAAGGTTCTCTTGGAAACGCGATATAACCGAACTCCACGCGGCCGAAGATGCGGGCGGAAAGCTAGTATTTTGTATAAATCTGAATGTAATTGTTTCAGGATCAAGCGTATGGCCGGCATGAAGGAGACCCAGCTGTCCGCTGAGATTGAACTCTTGGAGACTGACACCAAGAAGAAGTGGACTCGACCACCCATATCTATGGGATTTGAAGTACCCTTCGCACCTTCTGGGTTCAAGGTACTTTTACTATCTATTTTTTTTAAAGGTACTTGTAAATCAATTTCTTTTAACCCATTCGAGACGGAGATTTTTTTCGAACACGGTCCCCAGGAGCGAATTCTTTTGTTTTTGTTTATATTGATCATTTTTAATAAAAAACTTGTTTAGTACAGAAGTCACCCAAGTGATAATCAAATTTGCATAAATAAATGATTGCACACCGTATGTGCAACTCGCTCCTCAGAAATTATTTAATTCATAATTTCTTACATAATATGAAATTATGAATACCTAATATTCAATCTACGAAATTATTTCATAGATTATTTGATTAGTCGGTATATATAGAAGGCGATACTATTGCTCTTGGTGATAATTTTGAAAAATAGAATGAGATAAATATGGGTTCTTACATTAATATTTTCTAAAAATGTAGATTTTAAAACTCCAACTAAATGTTTTGTTTTGGTACGCAATAAAACCAATGTCAAATTTTGTTTTTCTATACTTTATAGATACTATTAATTTAAAAAAATCTTCTCTCGACGATTATTTTACTCAATAACTGATAATAATTTCTCATTATTACTATTGCACACACGGTGTGCAGTCTCGAATGGGTTAATAATATGTACGATGTCTTTATATGTAGTTAACTAGTTTATAATAGCGTTCTTTAATTATATCTTTAACCCTTCTGTATTTGTTCCGTAGAGTTCAAAACATTATATTTCAAACAACAAAATATTCAGCCCATATATTATATGGGTATTTATTTAGCTATTAATGTACATTTGACAATTTTAAGCGATGTTTTTGTATTTATTCTCATTGTTTATTAACTGTATGTATGTTTCAGGTCCGTTATCTGAAGGTGTTTGAGCCCAAGCTGAACTATTCTGACCATGATGTTATTAAATGGGTTCGGTACATTGGACGCTCCGGGTTATACGAAACGCGCTGTTAAGTGAGTATTATCATAGTGGATCATACTGAATCATCAGGGTTCATAGTGGATCATATTGGATCACTAGGGTTCATAGTGACTCAAAATAGAACATAGTGGATAGTTTTTATTCAGTATTAATTTGAATTTTGCTGTTAGCGCCATTGGCTTTGACAGCGCCATCTTGAGAGGGTAGAGGATATGGATAGTATTAATTTATACTAACAGTTTTAATATCTTTGATTTTATTTAAAAGTTTTTTAACTTACAGTAGGAACTTGGATTTAAATGAAACTAATATCCGAAAATTTACTACGCTATTTTTTATTTTTGACTATAAACTACATACTCCCGACGTTTCGGCTACTTTACAGCAACCGTGAAATACATCTCGTCTGTCCGTTATCACGGTTGCTGTAAAGTAGCCTAAACGTCGGGAGTATATAGTTTATAGTCAAAAATAAAAATTGCGTAGTATATCTGAAAATATTATTTTCATTTAAATGAGTACTCGCGAAAATCTTAGATCTCATTAATTTGTATTTGTCTTGTCTTGTCATGCTATATATTAATGTGTGTGTTTTGTTCCAGCTCCTACAAAGATCTCTCCTGGCGTGTTACATTACTAATTTGTATATAATACAGTATTGTTTGCGAGATCGTTATGTTTAAAGCTGGTTCGTGGAGAGGGAGTAGTGACTCAGTTACATTACATCATCAATAAACTGAAATATAGTTCAAACCGATTCAAAAATAGACCAAAAAATGGTTATAAAATCTTTTATTCTGTATTTTCTTGTAATAAAGTCATTTACAGGCCGCTACTGTCTCGAAATGAACTAAATTTATCACATTTTAGTAGAATCTCATATTAACATGCTTTCCTAGGAGATGTATATTTCATTTGTATAATTATGTCTAACAACTTTGAGCATAACTTAAATTTAAATTTTAAATTAATTTTTTATTTTATATAGTTTAATTTAAATTTAATTATTGCTATATATTTCATTTCAAATTCGTGGCTGGAACATAAAATGTCAGACAAAACAGTATGATTATAATTGTTTTGTTAGTAGAAAATTTTAATGTTTCTACTTCACCTTTCCTGTGTTAAGTAACTCTAACATATTATATCATTAATATATAAAATATTATTTTTTATTATTATCTAATAGTACAGTTGTATGTAACACTTAATCATCAATGTTCATAGTTTATAGATTTTCTATAGCATTCCTTAAATGTTTGTGCTCAGAATTCATCATTATAATTAAATGTTCATGTTAAATGTAGATACAGGATGTTCAAAATGTGTATTTGTTAATGTGGCTCATAGGCAGGCATTTTTAAATATAGTTTTGGTGTATAATCATAATTGTAAAACCCAGTTATTGTATGTATTTACATATGATTGTTTAAGATCAGGTCTAGAACCACGTGTTAGATTGCTTATAGTATGTTATACATATATAATAAACGTTTGAAATTTATTGATGTTTTATTTAAATAAATAAATGATCTCATAGATGATAAAAAAAATGATAAAACTACTAAGAGTGAAATTGTGTTATCTGTAGAACTGAAAAGAGTCTTTTTAGGAATAATTGTGTTGTAAAGCATATATCTGTTATTAAAGCATTTAATCTATTTCTACATGGAATTCAAATTTTAATTTTTATAAATGGATTTCGTAATATTTTGTGAAAGATCATTCCATAATTTAATTACTATTAACATTCAATAGATGTCGTTATAGTGTGAATGCTAATAATACAGTAAGTTTAACCGAGAGTTATATATATGTAAAGAATAAATAATAAAGGTTAAAAAAATCAAAATCTATAAGCCATTCAAACAGTGAAAATGTTTACTCTTCATTAATCCGAGATTTAAAAAAAAACGGTTATATAGAGACCAAAAACTAAATTTATTATAGATAAAAGAATAATCTATGTAATGCGTAAGATGATTAAAATGGAATATTTATGGAACTTTCAAGTCCTGATGCCCTAAAAATAGAAAAAAATATATTACGTCCAAAAGTAAAGACCTCAAGTTTAATTTATATATACATATATGTATATCAAATAGTTTGTATGTACTCAATAGACACAAGATACAAGACTTAAATATATACAAGATTTAAATATGTACAAGATTTAAATATGTTTGAATACAACGAGGTTACATATATAAACGGATTTAAGCCGCGTAGATTGGTTGAAACATATTTTCATCGGACAGATTAATATAAAAACACGACTGCGTAAACTCTTGTTAAATCTGGGAATATAGTTTTTTGCAGTTATTTATTAATAGACATGTGAATAGTTCGTTTAAATGTTTTTAATTGTCAGATGTTTGAAAAACTGTACGCTGTTGATTTTTGTTGATGGTAGCATAAAAATACGAGATTCGTAATTCTTAAGCGGGAATTAATGAAAATTTAAATGAAACGAATATTTTTCGGATATATTATGCGTGCTTTATTTTTACTTATCACCAACCGTGATCACGGGCAGACGAGATGTGAATGAAATTTTTTCTGTTTTCGTAGCTTAAAAGTAAACTGTGGTCGCGACTCCTTTCTTTATTATTAAGGTTTTTATTACTTTAATCATATTTTGGGGCCACATAAGACAAAATAACTGTGACTGCAGCTAATGGTAAATGGCACCATGTTATTAGTAAGACAAGGAGTGTGAATATGCAAATGTAACGTTAGGGTGAACTAGGTTTTTAACTTGGTATAAACTTATATAAAAAGTAAAGGAACACCCTTTTGTAATTATTTTGTAATCAATATTATTTCTTTTTTTCCATAACGGTAATTTTGTTCTTGGGACTTTGCCTCGCAAATTTCTATGTTTAGATGGAGATAATAATGAATGTAGACGCGTGATATTTTGATTTAGGAAATGAAGCAATTTAGCTACCATAAGAATCAGTTAAATTTTGAAAGAGGTCCTTGTGACCAGATATGGGAACCTACGCTGCAAATATTAATATTGATTATTTTTATTATTAGAAACGAGAAGAAAAATGTTAAAAGTAATATTTTTATTAGTAATTTAGAGCAAATTATTGGAATTATACTGATTTTGTTGTATCACCGTGTATACTATTGAATCTCGTCGAAGTTAACAACTGACATAACACTAGTTGCCAACTTACACCAAGTTTGCATCATCACACTGCTTATGAATCGTTTTCCTAATTAATTTATTCTACAACAATGTTCTACAATTATAACAAATTTTATTATAATTAGTTGCCATTGTGTAATTTACACATACAAATGCAAACTTTTACTTATACTCAGGATCAAATTTTTGTTTACGAGATAACACCACGAAGACGAAATCCAATCACAGATAAGTGAGGCAGTAATTTGGAAGATTAAAGCCTACACACACATATAAAGATTAGTCTACAAGTAGGGTTGCGTGAAATTTTTTATTGTCTATACATACTTTGTCTAAAATCTCAACGGTTTTTCAGTAATATAGTTTTTAAATTCATTTTTATCATTTCAAATGGCTCTCAATCCTTAGAGAACAGAGCTTTTAAAATTGTATATACTCTTTCTAAACAGTAGTAGAAGGTAAAAAATCGACTAAATATAATATAAATAATAATATACATATGTACGCATATTATATAGTTATGAATGTGAGTTTCTCATTGTTGGTTATATTTCAAGTCAAAACTACTGAGATGATTTGAATAAAATTTAGTATAGCTGTAATTAGGATTATGTCCCTAATATGTTTTAACCGATTTCAAGACAGAAGTAATCCCTAGAAAATAAGTGAAATATATGATATATGGATAGAATCATATTCAATAACTATTAATTATCAACAATACTAAATGTTATTGAACGAACAATTTGTATGCTATTTTTAATGTACATATAGATATTAAATGATAAGTTTAAATTGACGTATATTTATTATTATAAGAAAAAATATTGTATCTTTTTTCGGCGAGTGTTAGATACATAATTATTATATACTATTATAACTTTATCTTATAGTTTCCATTAACGAAATATTCATAGAACTTTATTGGAAATATTCCTTATTCATACAACCAATATTAGGTAAAAGTCATATACATATAAGGAAATTGTTATATTTTTGGATATTTTATCTATTATGACTTACATCGCAAAAAATCTTTACATATGGCTGACAATAAGGTACATAGAAAATTTGGAAGGATTATATTAAGTGTAACCTATACATTAAAATAAGTAATATATATGATAAATCGTCTTCTTTGTACAAATTAATAAAATATTGTCAACAAAACACTTTATTATGTTTTTTTTGTATCTAAATTTCCTTTGATGACGTTAATTTTTCTCCCAACGCTCTCTAAGAAAATCGCAACGCAAGAGGAACAATTTCAACAAATTATACTAATTCTCTTCCTAATTCATTATATTAAAAAATCTCCTGTTGTTTGTTTGTCGTCTTTTCTCTCCACGGTCACCATTAGCTAATTACTTTGTATAATTCATGTTTAGGCTTCCATAACGTAATTTTTTCACAAAACTTGATGTTTTTGACGTTATTTGTATGAAAATATAATTCTTAGTTTGTTATTAGTAAAAATTTTAGTTATAACATCTTATAGAATGGCATACTTATTGAAAGGTTTCCATATTTATTGAAGGTTTTGTTGGAAATTATTCGGATGTTATGTAAATCATATTGTGAGACAGGTTTGTAATTTGACAGAGATTTAATAGTTAGTATTGAATGTTTACTGGTGATAGTTAAATTTAATCAAGTAAAGATATTTCGGTAAGTTACATTATCTTGTATTAAATTTCATTCCATCTTTAGTAAATTTTTTTAATTTTTATAACAAGTTTTCATTACTATATTATATAAGAAGCCTTCCCAGTTTTTCTATCATGAACTTGTCTTGGTGCTATCATACGTGTAGATTAATGAATAAAAATTTAAACAGACCAGTATGCAGTGTGAAACGTGTAGTAAGACAAA